GTTTAAAAAGTCAACTACATTGAATATTCCATACTAAGAAAACATGGAATGGTTTCTATTAAAACAAATATTAAAATACTCAATGTTTAAAATTTCGATCAAGATCTTTATAAAATATTTGAAATTAAGAAAATCTTGCCAATTAAGCTAAATTTTAGGCATTGTATCTTACAAATAAAGTTAAATATAAAACATAATAATTATCTTTCCTTTAATATTGAAAACCAATTTTTTTTTTATCAACTGAAAAATGAACGATGGAGATTAAATCTCTAAACCCGATTAACATATCCGTTTAGTTAGTTAGATCCGCGTGTTAACCCAGTTAGAACATAAAGTAAATTAAATGGTTCATCAGCCATAACTTGTCACGTTGAAGAAATTATGTAACCTTACCAACAGCAATGGAAGAGTTCTTTGGCTTTCGCCATTCAACTACGAGAGATCCTCAACTCTTAAGTAGATTACAGATATTGCTAGCCAAACTTTTTCATTCCAGTCTAATTCTATTTGGATTACTTTGCTTATAACTGAAGTTGAGTCCATTATGAAAAGTAAACGTGAAATATCGCCATACCAGTCATCTGCAAATCTTTAAGCCTAAAAGCAAAACTGAAGTACCAAAAAGACTAAATTAAAAAAACTCCCATAGTCCTTATCTTCGTTTCGTTTGGAGAACTCTGAAGCAAACCCGTTTGGAGAATGGAGACCGAATCATAGCTCGTCGTCGTCACCATCTCCCTCTCCTTCTTCATCTCCTCCATCTTCTTCTCCACCAGCTGGTTTTTCATTTATCGCCATAAGCTCTGTGTCGAATATCAGTGTTGCACCACCTGAAGTTTGCAAAGGTTGTTATCAAAACCGTATATTAATCACAAACATGAATACACAACTTAAAAGCTTATAGATGAAGCATATTTATACCGGGGATAGTAGGCGGAGAGCCATGTTCTCCATATCCAAGTTTCGCGGGTATCTTTAACTTCCGCTTCTCACCTACACACGCTCCTAGCAAACCTTGATCCCAACCTACAACAAAACAGAATATAACCATTGGAGAAACTAAAAGAATGGAACAAAGAAAAGCGAGACTCAAAGCCGAAAAAAGCAAGTGGGTAGAATCAAGTCACTACCTTTAATAACTTGACCACTTCCTAACTCAAACTCAAACGGATCGCCCCTTTCAAAACTCGAATCGAATACAGTTCCATCAGTAAGTTTCCCCTGCCACACAACACTAAGTTACACAACCAAAAAACAACACCAAACATCTCTTCATAACAATGACTGAATCCGAAATTTTCCTAAACTTGGCAAAGCTTACCCTGTAATGCACCTTGATCCTATCACCTTTGTGAGCCCGAACGTCACACGTTTTTGGCTTAAACTGCAACAAAAGTAAAATAAGAAACAAGTTAAAAGATGATAAGAGACAAAAAACTAAACTCTTTATTATCTTTGAATCCAATCAAGAAGCAAATCTAAACTCTTTAGTATCTTGCGATTTGCTGACAAAGATCCAAAGACTTTAACATAATGGTCAAAGACGCTATTACTATTCTAGTAAACCATAACAGAACACACTACAAGACAATCAAAACAACCAGATCAAGCAAAAACAAAAAAAAAATATGACACAAGATCACTGATTTGCTGATGGAAAGATAAAATTTTTACCTTAACCCCGATCTGCAATTCAGACACGTCTCCCGTCTTCTTAGAAAAACCTATACATTGACAAAACATTGAAAAGAACAGATCCAATAGAAGCAATTAGATAGAGAAATTGAGATTAGGTTGAAACAAAGAGATCATGTTGTTGTAGCACAACAGATAATGAGAAGTATAAATTTTGGATAATAACAAGAATCAGAACCTTGGAATGAAATGAGAGAGAAGAGGATCAAAAAGAGGGAGTAACGGAGACACATCTTGCTCGCCATAGTCGCTTCTTCTCAGTTCTCACACTCTCTTCTCAGTTTTTCTCCTTTTTCTTCAGTGTGTTTTGTTTCATATCTCAGAGACAATCTTATTGGGCCTATGTATGATGTACTTGTTTCGGGCTTTTTCATTGCCCATTTTCTTAACTTTGAAAAATATTACTGTATGTTTGGATTGTGTTCATCCTATTGTCTCTATCTCATCATGCATAAAATAGAGGTTGTTTGACTACATTTTACTCCTTTATTTGGTATGTAGAGACTGTAAGAGTTCTTTATATTTGATAATTATGAGCAGCTTGAAGCTTTTTTTTTTTTTTTTTGCTAAAAGCTTCAAGCCGTTAAATTAGAGTTTAATATTCGATTGGCTATAACTCTTTATATAGTGAACTGTTTTATAAAAAATTTAGTTTCTCTTTCTTTAATTCTTATTGTCACGATAAACATTTTCTTTACTTATTTCTCCATTTTTTTAAGGAAAATTGTTGAACATCATGTTATTTTCAAGTGTATTGGTAGAAAAAAAATTTGCATCGAAAAGAAAACCAAAGTTTCTCCTAATCATATGATAGTGTATATGTGAACTGTTAAATGAAAAAAAATAAAGAAAAAGAGACATCTGAATTTTGAGAAGAATAAAAAGAAGGAGAAGCAAACAAATTTACATGGTTTATAAGACCATCCTCAGTGGAGGTATCTTAGCCTCCTAAGATACCTCCACTGAGGATGTCCTAAGATCATCTGCTGTGTACATTGACCGAATCATTTTGGAATTTTTATTCATTTTAGATTGTAAGACATATTTAAACTATAAGTCAATTACACCATTTTTCTATGTATCTATTTAAATAATTATAAAAGTACTAAATTAAATTTTAATTTAAAATCAATATTTGTTTTTTGTCGCCAGCTTTTCATTAGTCTGAAGAAGAAGATTACAAGGTGATTAGAACCCACATACACATAATTGTAAGCCCAACTAGCCCAAAACTACAAAAGGAAATAGAAAACAAAATAGGTCTAGAGGGGTACGTGTAAGGACACGTGTATGCATGATGGAAGTGGAAAGGCACAATCATCGAACATGGCATCTCCACGGAACTGAACCGCCGATCAATTTTCCGATCACCATAAATGAAATTCCGTTCTCCACATCGAACAAACACTTTTTCTGCTCAAGGATTTTATGAGACTTTCAGCTACAAACTCCAATCACCTTAAAAGGCTACATTTTGCTAAATTTTTCCCAGCAAAAAAACAAAGATTCGTAAGTCATCAGATCCATGAAGCACAGGAAGACGCGACATGTGAGAGGGTAGATTAATCGTAAAATACGCTCTCTTGAACTGTTCTACACCAGCCAAAGAGATCCACTCAACACGATTTGCAGTCTTAAGGTGATACTTTCATCCAATGCTGATTTATGGCTCTAGTTGGGTATGAAGGATTTATTCTCCTTGCGAATGAAATCGAGCAGCCAATGATCCTCGAAAATCTGAAATAATCACTCGGCTTTTAAATCTTCTATGTAAGAAGATATTTAGACCTCTGCAAAAGGATAGCCAAAAAAAAAACTAAAACTAAAACTAAAAAAATATAGTCACAGTGGCTAAGATAAAACTCGCACTTAGACAAGAGGATATACAAATCCAGACATAGCTGGAATAAAAAAAAACTGACGTCGTCGGTAAAACAACGACGATGAGCTTTTCTCTCTGAAAAATATTTAAAGAAAGAAGAGAGGATTAAAAATCAATACATCTCTATATTTTTTATTTAATTAATTTTAAATTTGGCCAGTTATTTATGTCTATTAAATAACTAATTTGGAGGGCTTTTACCCTTTTTAATAACTAATGGCATATAAACCTTTCAAGTCAATTTACAAAAGCAATAAAATTAAAAGGTTTCAATTTATTTCCAAAAAAATTAAACAAAAGCTTCTGTTTTTTTTTTCTTTTTCTTTTGGAAATCTATATTTTTTTCTTTTTTAATTCTATGAACCAAATCACACACCCACAAGGACCACAACACACCAAGCAATAAAATGAAAGAAAATCCCCATCGAGATTTAAAATGTTTTATTGAATTCCCAAAGAAAAAAAAAGTTTTATGTTTGACCAAAAAAAAAAAAAGGTTTATTAGTAACATATAATAGAAATGAACTCATAAGATTTTACCAATCCTTCACCTTATCCAAATCTGCTCCTCCCCACTAACTCTTCTCCTTCCTCTTCAATCATCTCCTTCCTCTCTGTAATCACTTCTTCACCAATCCCAAAAAAACCTCTCACAAATCGCTTCTCTCTGTTTCAATGGACACATCTCTCTCCCACCACAACTCCCTCTCTTTCCTCCCGTCACGTCGCAACTCCGTTAAACGAAACCTCAGCGGCTGCGATTGCGTTGTTCTCCCTTCGCGTCGTAAGGTCCGTTACGATTCGTTGGTGGTGATTGCAGCTTCAGGAGCGGGAGCTAGCCTCGACGCGCCTCTGGTTCCACGCTCGGCTCAGGGGAGGTTTCTAAGCAGCGTGTTGGTTAAAAAACGGCAGCTCTTTCACTTCGCCGTCGCTGATTTGCTTAAACAACTCGCCGATGATAAGGAAGCTGCTTTGTCTCGTATGTTCCTTAGTTCTGGTTCCGATGAAGCTTCTCTCCACAGGTTAGTTTAATAACCTTCCTCCTTCGTTAATCACAATTACAAGTACTTGTTGCTACTGTGGAATTGAGATAATTGATTCTTCGATTTTAGCCATTAATTTTGAGATTATGATAATCTCTGGTTTATATGTGTTTGCTACCACTGTAGAATCACTTAATTGTAGGAAACAAAATCTGTAGAATTGCATAATCCAGGAATTTATGAATGAATGGTTACAAGTTTTGGTTATAGAATTGTGTAATTGAATATTTCTTTGATCTTAGTAGTGAATCTTGCAGAAGAGAGGATCATTGACTGTTAAATCATGATTACACATATATATATTTGTGGTTAAGTTCCTATTTTGCAGACTTCTTTCATATGATTTTGACAAATTCATGCTTTGGTCGAATTTGATGTTTCAGTTGGTTCATGATTTGGTGTTTCGATGTTCGATGATTCGTTGATTTAAGTTTATTACTTCTCAAAGACTTGCAGAATTGCACATCTTGTTTGACTTTAGTCATGAATCCTGCAGAATAGTGAATCGTTGAATGTAAAATAGCGATTTTATGTTTTAGTTGTTTTCAGTTTGTATTTGAAGTTCCTATGGATGCTGATTCCTTGATTTGATTTCGTGGTTTTGCAGAAGGATAGCACAACTGAAAGAGAGTGATTGCCAAACAGCAATTGAAGACATAATGTACATGTTGATCTTATACAAATTCTCAGAGATAAGAGTGCCTCTTGTTCCAAAGCTTCCCAGTTGCGTGTACAATGGAAGACTCGAGATATCGCCTTCAAAAGACTGGGAACTTGAGTCAATCCATAGCTTTGACGTTCTTGAACTCATCAAAGAACACAGTAACGCAGTCATCAGTTTAAGAGTGAGTTCGAGTTTGACTGACGATTGTGCAACAACGGAGATAGATAAGAATCATCTCAGTAAAGTATACACAGCTTCGGTTTTGTATGGATACTTCTTGAAATCCGCTTCCTTAAGGCACCAACTTGAATGCTCACTATCACAACATCATGGGAATTTCACCAAGCAACTGAGACATTACATCTCAGAGTTTGATCCCAAGATATTGCAGAGATGCGCAAAGCCAAGGTCACACGAAGCGAAAAGCCTGATAGAGAAGCAAAGCTTAGCTCTTTTCGGCCCTGAAGGAAACAGCGAAGAGAGCATTGTGACATCGTTTTCTAGCCTGAGGAGGCTGCTTCTTGAAGCTGTGGCATTCGGTACGTTTCTATGGGACACAGAGGAGTATGTAGATGGTGCTTTTAAGCTCAAGGAGAATGAAAATGCAGAAGAAGAAGAAAATAGCAGTGTGTGAATGATCAGTTTGATTGAAGAAAATCTTGAAATATCTTTTTGGTGGATATTGCATATATAGAGAAAGAGAACGAGACGAAAGGTTTCTATAGGGTCAATGACTATATGAAATTAATTTTGCCTATTGTTTGCAATAATTATATGTATACTATAGTTTATAACGAATGATTAATAGAGATTTGTTTTGTTACTCTTATATCCTCTCGTCATTTTTCCTATTTCTCCATATGAATGTGTTGCATCTTCGAAGGAAACGAAATATATTTTTTTTTTTGGGGTAAACTACTCTTACTAATCCCATTTAATTAGCTAACCAAAATATAACAATACTAGATTTTGACCAACGTTTGATTTTTAATTCATATTTTCTAAAATTTATTTAGAATTTATTTAATAATTATTAAGATGATATAATATCAACTTTGCTAAAACTAAACGATGTTATATATTAATTAGAATTGATATAGGAAGTTTAAGATTTAGACTTAGCAAGTAATCAAAATTATATGTTGGTTTGAGATTATAAATGAGGATTATGGTTTATATTTAACATTTACACGAAATTATTTGTGAGTTTAGGTTTATAAAGAGTAGTTAGAGTTTAAATTTTACAATTAACCAAAATTATATAACGATTAAGGTTTATAAATGAAGATTATGGTTTATTTTTTACAATTAAACAAGATTATATGTTGATTTGGATTTATAAAGGAGGATTTCAGTTTAAATTTTACAATTAAATGAAATTATATGTCAGTAATTTGGTTATCGATGTTTTATGGATCGATCCTGGAAAGGAGATAAGTTTTCAGGTACTATATGGATATGGTTGCTATATAATGACCCGACGCCTACCATGGGAGCGACTAATCTTCGATGCAATTGTTGTGTTCCTTATTGACTGTTAAGATTTGGTGAAGATGATGTCTTCTTCATCCGAGTGGCTAGACTTTTATACATATTTGGAAGACATATAGATCGATAGAGAAGAATTCTTCACTTGTTCTCTTACTCATATTACTCGTAATGCGAGTGTTAAAGCGGATTATTTAGCATGACGAGTTTGTTTCAAACCGCATCATATTACTTATATAAACAACATTTCTCCCAATTGACTTTTATGAGCTAATCAATTTCTATTGTTGACTTTTTTTTTTATATAGATAATTTTAATTACTTTAGTTTATTTAGTTAGATTACGTATAGTAAATTTTGACTGGCTAACTAAAATGGGCTGAATAAGAGAGGCTCATCACTAGGGAAAAATAAACGAACATAAAACAACATCATATAACTGAGATCCTAGATCATTTCCTTCTCTTTGCCATGATTCCATGATAACATTTTTTCATTATATGCACCACGACAAAAAAAGTATACATGAGTATTATCACAAATATTCAGTGAGATGATCCTCCCATCTACTAGACTATAAATATAAATGAAATAAAATATAATGACATATAATCAAAGCACACACTTTAGGAAACTGGCACAGCTCCCAGCCTGAACTAATGTCGATCTCCCAGCCTGAACTAATGTCGATCTCCAGCCATGAGGTGGCTAAACATAACATAAAGCTCAAGAGGTGATAAAAAAAAAACTGTCCAAGCCTCAACAAAAATTACATTCTCTCATGAGAATGTATTTTGTGGTAATGAAGAGATTGGAACTCATGCATAAGCTTTCTTCACACAGATATATTCCTCATCACATCATCGAGTCTCTTTGTTAGATTTTGCTAAATAACTATCAAACATGTAATTTCACTAATGAAGAAATCCACAAACCATAACGGGAGATGACAACTCTCTTCTACAAGGAATATTAGGATGTTGTTGGTGGTGATGTAACACACGAGGTCAAGAAGTTTATCCAGTCATTTGAAAGTTGATACTAACAAACGCATGCAATTAAAACCATAAAATAAAATCAGTACACAAATATATTTATGTAATTATGTATATGATTTGAATAAAAAAATAATTTAATATTACCTTTTGTATTGTAAAATTATAAAAAAAAAAAAAATCAATTACATAAAATTATTTATGTAAAGTTTAAAATGAATTAATAATAATAAATGGGGATGACAAGTGACCCAATAGGAAGAAAATGAAACGTTACTTTTATATATGATACGATTTTAGGATTCATTATCTATATGCTAAACTAAATTTATTCAACTTCCTCATTTTCACCTGAAATGTTCAAGTCACTGTTGAATATAGTAAATACGTTTAAGGTAAACCTGTAAAAGAAAAACCATGAATTAAATTTTGTAACTTTTTTAACTATGATTCATTAAATACCATGTATTATAAGTAAATGCACATATATATAAATATGCTACCATCTTGTTTTAAACACATAACAAGCAAAACTCAAAACAATTACTAGCAAATACGTTTATTTTGTTTATCGTTCGGGGTTACAATATTGAAAATTCTATAGAAAATGAAGACCACATTTTTCTTTCTAACTCTCGCCGTTCTTGTTTCATCATGTAAGTTTACTCCTGTTAATTAAGACACACACACACATGTACACACACGATACTTTATAGTCAAGATAATATATTAACTTAACAATTTCATTTTCTTTTGAATTACTTATAGTTGTATCGAGTATCATGACAACATCTATTCCAGGAGGAAAACTTCCTATACCCATTTCTCCAGTAAGCTCACTAATTGATTCAGCCGACGAACATATTGGACACTCTCCCGAAGACATGAAACTTTTTTTCTGCCAGCGATGTGCATATCAATGTATTGAGAAAAAGAAAAACTTATTTAGTTGTGAACATCCTATTTGTCGATGTACTTTCGAAGACATTCTGTAAGACACTATATATTTTAGAATAATAATATATTAACTAAACTAAATTATAATAATATACTAAAATTTTTCCTAGTTTTGGTTTTACGCTTTTGATAAAATACTGAATTTGTATATTTCGTTTTGTTGATCTCCATAAAATATTTTTTTAAACATAATTCATATAAGCTGTAAACTATTTTTATCATAGAATTATGTGACTATAACTCTATTTTTGAAAACTAAATATCAAATATTGCAGAAAAAGTTTGAATCTCTCGACAGTAGTTGTCGCTAGATAATTATGCAAAAAGAGATAAAAAAAAATATTTTTCGTTCTTTTACCTCATTCAGTATCTTAAATACATATGTTATAGTCAAAAGAAAATATTGATGTTTAAGAGTTTTAAAATAAACCGTAAGATAAAAAAAATTTATGAATAGATAACATCAACACAATTTTATATGATTTGGGTTTGAAGCAAACCTTGTACTATCTTGTAAAAATACTTTACATTGCAATGTTCCTAATTAAGTTTATGCCCTCAAGCTTTTGCAGTTGCAGATATAGCAGGTGACAAAATACTTTCCAAGGCTCAACAAAAAATAGATTTTCTCATGCATTGGAACTCATGCATAAGTTTTCTTCACTCAAATGTATTCCTTATTTTGTCATTGAGGTTTTTGTTAGATTTTGCTACATAACGACCTAACATGTGATTTCACTGAGGAAAAAATCCACAAGCCTCCTAACTTAATTGGAGATGTAGCAACACGAGGTCAGGAGTTTATCATGTCATTTGATAGTTGACATGATAGTTGATACTAACTTTCGCATGAAATTAAAACCATAAAATAAAATCAGTACACAAACATATTTATGTAATTAAATATATGATTTGAATACAAAAATATTTTAATATTAACTTTTGTACTTTAAAATCATAAATAAAACCAAAATCAATTACATAAAATTATACATGTGAAGTTTAAAATGAAACAATATTAATAAATTGAGATGACAAGTGACCCCATAGGAAGAAAATGAAACGTTACTTTTATATATGATACGATTTTACGATTTTTGTTCTATATGCTAATTCAAATTTATTCAACTTCCTCATTTTCACCTAAAATGTTCAATCACTGTTGAATATAGTAAATACGTTTAAGGTAAACCTGTAAAAGAAAAACCATGAATTAAATTTTATAACTATGATTCATTAAATACCATGTAACATAAGTAAATGCACATATATATAAATATGCTACCATCTTGTTTTAAAAACATAACAAGCAAAACTCAAAACAATTACTAGCAAATACGTTCACTTTGTTTATCGTTTAGGGTTACAATATTGAAAATTCTATAGACAAATGAAGACCACATTTTTCTTTCTAACTCTCGCTGTTCTTGTTTCATCATGTAAGTTTAGTCCTGTTAATTAAGAGAGACACACACACACATATGTACACACATGATACTTTATAGTCAAGAATAATATATTAACTTAACAATTTCATTTTCTTTTGAATTACTTATAGGTGTATCGAGTATCATGACAACATCTATTCCAGGAGGAAAACTTCCTATTCCCATTTCTCCAGTAAGCTCACTAATTGATTCAGCCGACGAACATATTGGACACTCTCCCGAAGACATGAAATTTTTTTTCTGCGAGCGATGTGCATATCAATGTATTGAGAAAAAGAAAAACTTATTTAGTTGTGACCATCCTATTTGTCGATGTACTTTCGAAGACATTCTGTAAGACACTATATTTTTTAGAATAATAATATATTAACTAAACTAAATTATAATAATATACAAAAAATTTTCCTAATTTTAGTTTTACGCTTACGATAATATACTGAATTTGTATATTTCGTTTTGTTGGTCTCCATAGAATATGTTTTTTAAACATAATTTATATAAGTTGTAAACTAATATTATCATAGAATTATGTGACTATAACTCCATTTTTGAAAACTAGATATCCAATATTGCAGAATAAAGTTTGAATCTCTCGACATTAATTGTCACTAGATTATTACGCAAAAGTGAGATTAAAAAATAAAATATTTTTTGTTCTTTTGCCTCATTCAGTATCTTAAATACATATGTTATAGTCAAAAGAAAATATTGATGTTTAAGAGTTTTAAAATAAACCGTAAGATATAAAAATTATTAATAGAAAATATCAACAAAATTTTATATGATTTGGGTTTGATGCAAACCTTGTACTATCTTGTAAAAATACTTTATATTGCAATGTTCCTAATTAAGTTTATGCCCTCAAGCTTTTGCAGTTGCAGATATAGCAGGTGACAAAAAACTTTCCAAGCCTCAACAAAAAAATAGATTTTCTCATGCATTGGAACTCATGCATAAGTTTTCTTCACTCAAATGTATTCCTTATTTCGTCATTGAGTCTCTTGTTAGATTTTGCTACATAACGACCTAACATGTGATTTCACTGATGAAGAAATCCACAAGCCTCCTAACTTAATTGGAGATGTAGCAACATGAGGTCAAGAAGTTTATCATGTCATTTGATAGTTGATACTAACTATCACATGCAATTAAAACCATATAATAAAATCAGTACAAAAACATATTTATGTAATTATGTATATGATTTGAATAAAAAAAATTTTAATATTAAATTTTGTATTTTAAAATCATAAATAAAACCAAAATCAATTACATAAAATTATTCATGTGAAGTTTAAAATGAAACTATATTAATAAATTGAGATGACAAGTGACCCAATAGGAAGAAAATGAAACGTTACTTTTATATATGATACGATTTTAGTATTTTTGATCTATATGTTAATTTAAATTTATTCAACTTCCTCATTTTCACCTGAAATGTTCAATCACTGTTGAATATAGTAAATATGTTTAAGGTAAACCTCTAAAAGAAAAACCATGAATTAATTTTTGTAACTTTTTTTAACTATGATTCATTAAATACTATGTAACATAATTAAATGCACAAATATATAAATATGCTACCATCTTGTTTTAAAAACATAACAAGCAAAACTCAAAACAATTACTAGCAAATACGTTCATTTTGTTTATCGTTCGGGGTTACAATATTGAAAATTCTGTAGAAAATGAAGACCACATTTTTCTTTCTAACTCTCGCCGTTCTTGTTTCATCATGTAAGTTTATTCCTGTTAATTAAGACACACACACACACATATATGTACACACACATGATACTTTATAGTCAAGAATAATATATTAGCTTAACAATTTCATTTTCTTTTGAATTACTTATAGGTGTATCGAGTATGATGACAACATCTATTCCAGGAGGAAAACTTCCTATTCCCATTTCTCCAGTAAGCTCACTAATTGATTCAGCCGACGAACATATTGGACACTCTCCCGAAGACATGAAATTTTTTTTCTGCGAGCGATGTGCATATCAATGTATTGAGAAAAAGAAAAACTTATTTAGTTGTGACCATCCTATTTGTCGATGTACTTTCGAAGACATTCTGTAAGACACTATATTTTCTAGAATAATAATATATTAACTAAACTAAATTATAATAATATACTAAAATTTTTCCTAGTTTTAGTTTTACGCTTTTGATAATATACTGAATTTGTATATTTCTTTTTGTAGGTCTCCATAAATTTTTTTTTTAAAACATAATTTATATAAGCTGTAAACTATTATTATCATAGAATCATGTGACTATAACTCCATTTTTGAAAACTAAATATCAAATATTGCAGAAAAAGTTTGAATCTCTCGACAGTAGTTGTCACTAGATTATTATGCAAAAAGAGATACAAAAAAATATTTTTCGTTCTTTTAGTCCATTCAGTATCTTAAATACATATGTTATAGTCAAACGAAAATATTGATGTTTAAGAGTTTTAAAATAATCCGTAAGATAAAAAAAAATTATGAATAGAGAACATCAACAAAATTTTATATGATTTGGGTTTGATGCAAACCTTGTACTATCTTGTAAAAATACTTTATATTGCTGTGTTCCTAATTAAGTTTATGCCCTCAAGCTTTTGCAGTTGCAGATATAGCAGGTGAAAAAAAACATTCCAAGCCTCAACAAAAATTAGATTTTCTTATGCATTGGAACTCATGCATAAGTTTTCTTCACTCAAATGTATTCCTTATTTCGTCATTGAGTCTTTTGTTAGATTTTGCTACATAATGACCTAACATGTGATTTCACTGATAAAGAAATCCACAAGCCTCCTAACTTAATTGGAGATGTAGCAACACGAGGTCAAGAACTTTATCCAGTCATTTGATAGTTGATACTAACTATCGCATGCAATTAAAACCATAAAATAAAATAAGTACAGAAACATATTTATGTAAATTATGTACATATGACTTTGTAGTTGCAAATATAGCAGGTGACCAAAGACTTTCCAAGCCTCAACAAAATAAGATTTTCTCATGCATGGAACTCATGCATAAGGTTTCTTCACTCAAATATATTCCTTATTTCGTCATTGAGTGTCTTGTTAGATTTTGCTACATAACGACCTAACATGTGATTTCACTGATGAAGAAATCCTCAAGCCTCCTAACTTAATTGGAGATGTAACACACGAGGTCAAGAAGTTTATCTAGTCATTTGATAGTTGATACTAACTATCGTAATTAAAACCATATCAGTACACAAACATATTTATTTAATTATGTCTATGATTTGAATAAATAATATTTTAATATTAACTTTGGTATTTTAAAACCATAAATAAACAAAATCAGTTACATAAAAATTTTTGTTTTTCTTTTTTTTGTCGTCACATAAAAATATTTATGTAAAGTCTAAAATGAAACAAAAATTATAAATTGAAATGACAAGTGGCCCAATAGGTAGAAAATGATACATTACTTTTATATATGATACGATTGAAGGATTTTTGATCTATATGCTAAACCAAATTTATTTAACTTCCTCATTTTCACCTGAAATGTTCAATTCACTATTGAATATAGTAAATACGTTTAAGGTAACACTTCTATAAGAAAAACTATGAATTAAATTCTTTAACATCTTTAACTATTATTTATTAGAAATACGTTTAATAAAAAAATAAATACTATGTAACATAAGTAAATGCACACATATATATGGTATCATCTTGTTTTAAAAACATAACAAGCAAAACTCAATTAAAAAGAGCAAATAAGTTCATTTTGTTTCTCTTTTTTGGTTAAAATATTAAAATATTATAGAATAATGAAGACCACATTTTTCTTTCTAACACTTGACGTTCTTGTTTCATCATGTAAGTTTATATATATATATATAGATAATAGTTTATAGTCAAGAATAATATATTAACAATAATTTCATTTTCTTTTGAATTACTTATAGGTGTATCAAGTATTATGACAACCTCTATTCCACGAGTAAACTTCCAACTCCCATTTCTCCAAGCTCTCTAATTGATTCAGCCGACGAACATATCGGATACTTCCCCGTAGACATAAAACTTATTTTCTGCCAACTATGTGCATATCACTGTATTGAAAAAAAAGAAAACTTGTTAGTTGTGACCATTCTATTTGTCGATGTACTTTCGAAAACATTCTGTAAGACACAATATTTTAGAATAATAATATATCAATTAAACTAAATTATAACAATATACTAAATTTTTTTCCTGGTTTTATTATTCCACTTATATACAACATCACAAACATAGCAAATTTTGTAACAAAATCAGAAGACTCGTAGAAACCAATTTAAACAGAAGTCAATATCGGGCCAAGCCCAAATAAAGAAAATAGTCCAAAAAAGCCCTTTTACTTTTTCAGAGAATGAGCTGAAATAAAGTATACGAATGACACGTGTCCTTCTTCTTTCTCTTGGTCTATAAATACAAATTCACCATTCTCTGGCCAAAGTTTTCTCTTTCCTTGGCTGGGGTTTTGAGAGAGAAACCAAAGAAAGAAGAGAGAGAGAGTTTTCTTCTTCCCACATCAAAGAGCCAACCCATCAAAAAAACAAAAATTAACCCATAAAGTTTCATTTTTTTTTCAAAAATAAAACCTTCACAGAAGAACATTTACATATATATTACACAAAGGTATATATATATATATATATATATATATACATATACATATGCCAACACATGTAGATTGGTATAGAGAGAGAGATTTATATTTTTCTCACTCTTTGAGATCTTTTCGAAATCGCACGTTTCTTGATTAAACCTGAAGCAGTATCGTTTGATTTCTTGTACTGATAAAGTTTGGATTTTTATTTGGTTTTTGTTCGAAAGTTTTTGAAATTGGATCGGCGCAGAGATTAGATACTTAAAAAGCTTGATTTTGGGGTTTTCTGAATATTTTTGGTTTTTTGTTTACTTCAAACCCACATGGAGAAGATTGGTGTATAGCTTCGAGTTTACGTTCCTTTGCATTATTTTGGGGAAGTTTGTGAATTTCACTTGACATTTTGTTTCTCTCAATTTGGTTTTTTTTTAGGGTTTTGATTGGATCGCGTATTGGATTTAACCCTAATTAAGTGGAAAGTTCGATTCTTTGGAGTGTGAGAATTGAATTGCGGCTGTTGATGTTGTGAGTTAGTATTGTTTGCCCAATTGGGTTTCTTCATATTCAATTCGAGCTTGCCACGGAGTTGAGATTTTGATTAATTGAGCTTAAAGGTGCTTTTTTTTAGTGAGATGCTTGTAATTTTCCAAAGTTTTGTTAATGTGAGTTGTGAAAGTTCTGATCTTGATTTCTGGTGATGTGGTTTTGTGCCAGGCTGTATAATCTTGAGGGTACTAAGTTTGACCCATATCAGAGGGTCCAGAAGTGTGATTTCGCTAAGTTATTAGTGATTTCGAAGTTGTGGACTTGGAATTTGAATACTTGGAAGTGGTTACTGTGGGTCGGAAAGTGAATTTTGAGCTGGAATGGTGTACAGGATCATAGATTCTGATCTGGTCAAGTGTTGGGATAAATGAGCTAAAAAGTTGGAGAGTGGTTAAAGTTTACTACTTTACAGTTCTTACAGACAAGTGCCATGTCTCGGTGCTTCCCATTTCCTCCACCAGGATATGAGAAGAAGATTAGAACTGATGAAGCAGACCCTCTTGTAAAGGTTCATATGTCAACTCTTAGAACTTACTCTACTTCGATTCATTTTCGTTCTGGATTTCTATTAGAAATTAGAAACATATTTTAGAGGAAACTCAAGGATTGCATGAGACAAGAGTCTAATGGGTTTGTGGAATTTTTGTATCGTGGAATGTTTTTGCGTTGTTTTTAGGACTTAGACATTACTTAGCAAAACGTTTGAGTAGGTGACTTCTGGAGAATTAGTATCTTCTTGTTGTGGTAACCTCATAGCTAGGTGATCGAACCTTGAGTATTCTCAGTAAACTGTTATTGATAGGAAGGATTTGACTATCTTTTACAAGAGCATCAGCATCGATTGGTACTGATATGTGAGAGAAATCATCCATAGAATTTTATCTTTCTTTTCTAAATTTGTGAGAATGTTCCTTAACTCCATTTGTCTCGTACTAAATAGCACATATTAAGGACTGATGGATCCTTGCTTGGCTTTAAATGGGAATAGTAAGCTTTCAAGTGAATGGCTGCTCATGTAGTTCTTTGTTTTAGATGTTAGAATTATTTATTTCATTTATATGACCTGAAGACCATATTAGTGTCTCTTAGGATTAGACTATCTTTGGAACGGGAAGTAGTGAGGGTGATGTGCATTGATGCAGGTGATTGCATAGTCATAATTAAGACACTGCAGTAAATTTTATTCAGAACGAGTACTGAGGTGCTTAGGAGTTAGTTATGGAGCTTGAACGTACTGGTAGTAGCTTACAGCAGTCAGATCAGACTAGTTCCCTACTAGAGGATATCTTCCTTGAATTGGAAAAAGATAAAGAGAATCGATGCATACCCATTTTTTCACTGTTTTTGCCCTGCTGCCTTATATAAGCCTCTTATGAGAGTTTTCAGTGTCCTATCTACCAAGGCATGGTAAATCTGGTCTGTTAATAGTTGAGGGATTTGGATGCTTTCGTTCTTTTATCAAGTGTAATCCTCCTGTGAAAAATGACAATTTAACGCTGAAATGCTTTTGTATGCACTTTTATACTTATGCCATGTATAGAGTACAGTCTGTTTAGGTGGAACTATATGCTGCTGCCTTATAAGTTTATATGAATTTTTGTGATCTTCCCTTATAAATGTATATGTGTTTCTTCATGGGATTTGAATTTCAGGACAAGTACAAGGAAAAGAAGCACAAGAAAGATAAAGAAAAGAAAGAGGGTAAAGAGAAAAAGAGTAAAGATAGAAGCAAAGACAAACAGAAGGAAAGAAAGGAGAAGAAAGACAAACATAAAGATCGAAAAGACAAGGAGAAAGATAAAGAGAAAAGCAAACCTTTGGAGGACAAGAAAGCAGAAGTGCTGACAAACAGCGGGCACAGAGAGAAACTTGTAACAAATACCGTGCAGAATAATAGTAATGGAGAGTCAAAGTATGTACAGGACCTGGCAAGAAGGATCAGATATGACGAAGAAGCAACAGGAAGTCAGAGTGCACAAAAGATTGATTATTCTCACCCGAAAAATTCAGGAATAACAGGACAAGCATTTGAGAACAGCCCAATTGAGGAAACAAGCCATAGGGTGGATGATGATAAGAGAATCAATACCACGAAGAATTTTGCAGCGGCAAAAAGTTCTAAAAATGCTACTTCTCGAGTATACTTTGGTGCAGATCAGAAAAGAACTGAGGTTATGAGTAAACCAATGGAGAACAAAGACCAGGTGAGGCAAACAGAATCAGCGGAGAAGAGTCACCGCAAGCAAAATGTGACCAAGAGTGATAAACCAAGGGATCAAGAAGGGGTGAAGAAGAATGATGCAAAAGATAAAGACAGAATTAAAGAGAAGAAGGAGGAAAACATAGAGTCAATAAATAAAACTCGCCAGGAGAAACCAAAAATAATAGGAGGGTCCAGATTAGAGGAGAGGGAAAAAGACTATCAAGATATAAGAAATAGCAAACCGCCTGACCTTTCTCGGGCGAGCGTCAAGAACGTTATTACTGAGGGAAATCTTGGCAAACGGAAGGATCATGAGACAAATGGATTCTTGTATGGTGAGTTATTCCCTGATCCGATTCTCTGTCTGGTGAATGAGGAGTGTAGTTGCCATATTAACCATAGTATGATAATATGGCTTGGTACTTAAAAGCACCTTATAGTTTTATCCAATCATGGTATGTTTTCTTACCTTAAAAAGATAATTCAATTTCTTGGTCTCTGGTTAGTGTGGTAGTTATTTGGATTATTGATGCATGATCCGTTCACTTTTCTTTGGTTTTGGGTCTGAAACGTGACAATGTTCTTAACACTTTGTTTCTCTAACATTAGTCTTTAATTCTTGTGCAGAGAATGGAACCACACCACACAAGTTACAAAGGCACTCAACTTCTGTACCATCTGTGGAAAATGGAAGAACAATAGGTGCACCCCGAACTCCTCCAATGCACGCATCTGAGATGCAAGAAACGACTTGCAAGCCACAAGTAAAAGACGTTAGAATTAACGGTTTCGCTGTATCTGGAGAAAAACAAAAAGTCTGCCCGCCAATCCCTTTGGCTGCAACAATGAAAGTGAAAGTCAAGGAAAATGGTGAAGCATCCTTAAAGCCGCCTCATCCTGACCTAAAGTATCTCAATCAGATACTCAATGTACCAACAAGGGAGCTGTTGCCGGAGAGTGACGATGACCAAGAATGGCTACTTGGTCAGTCGGGTGTCAAGTTGAAAAAGGCGAGAACAGATTCTCCAGATTCTGGCGAATCCTTGCAGGTCTGGAACCAAGCTCTCAGAATAGAGTCTGCGGATATCGTAGCTCTACCTTATGTTATTCCATTTTAGCTGTGACTATATTCTCGGATGTTCCTACGCCACAACCCATGAGGAGAACTACCCTTCACACAACGCCACTTTGCAGCAGTGTTTGCTATGTTGGCATCAGCATCTATGATGGCTCTTTAAAGAAGACCGACACAGCAGTCCATAGCTCCCAAAAGCGTATGAGCAGGGAATAAATATATTATACGCCCATAATATGAACACCCACAAAAGCTCTGCATGGGTGGGGAAAAGAATGAATGAGGAAGATGTAAGTAGAGTAAATCCATAGAGAGATTGATTTTGTTGTTGAACTCTTGTTTGACATGTTGTGTTATAAGGACAAGGATATGTGTGGCATTTGGTTCTGCACGCAATTTTGATTCCCTGCTTGCATCATTAACACTAGTAGAGTTTGTATATTACAGAGAATAGAAGAAGAAAAGAAAGAGTAGGGTTCATGTGTTTATCAGATTGATCACGGAAGAAGGTTAGTATCAGAGATCTTTATGCTAGTTGAGAAGACAGTCTTAGTTTTCTCAGGAATACTATTGTATCAGATCCTTAATAAAGCAATGATCACTAGGAATGAAAACTCCAAACTCCCAACATAATCCTCGTAAGAAACAAGGGTTCGATTGATTGATACATACAACAAGCTATGGTAAAACTTTGTCTTATTTTAATCGTTGTGGAAATCAAGCAACTGAACAAAACTTGTACTTCAATCTCATTGTGATCGTTGGTTGTGAAAAACTGAGAGCTATCTTCACTACGATCCTAAACAAAAGCTTGAAGATCTTTGATAGTAACCTCAATCCGTTTCCATTTCTTACAATGATCAAATTTTTAAATTTTTCGCACAGATGCATATTTGGTGAAGTTCAACCTGAAGTGTGCAAGTGTTCTGATTAAGTTAGATCAACAAATCATTTAGCTTAATACTATACTTATGATCTTGATTCATGGTAAGTGATGAAGCTACCATGATCCTCCAAAGGATTTTGGCCGTCTTGATACTGAAACCTGATTAAGTTACCAATGTATCTTGTATGTATTTTCACTATTGCCAAGAACCCTACTAGTGATTGGAGTGAGTTATCAGTGCATCTAAAGCAGTTGGATCAAGGATACATTGACGTGGTGGTCTTGTCTTTTGATAAGCATGCTACTCTCTCATCCATCAATGGCTATCTCTTCCAGCTGAAATGGTAAAACCTGTAATCCCTTTGGACTTCTGTGTATTCATCTCATGTTATGATGATATATTGCTTATTAACCGATCAATCTGTTGCGGTTCAAGGTATAGTTTATTTTACAAACACTAGGTTCAGCTATGTTTTCTGATAGCAGTCCTCTAATCGTTTCATCATTGCAAGGTTTTGTGTGTCCCTCTTGAACATTTAGCCTCTGAAGTTAACTTTTTTGCAGAGTTCAAGCATCACTGTACCTATTAAAGTCTTACCAGAAACAATTCTCTCTCCCTTCTAAGCTTGGTCCGATAATGTTAGATAAGTAGTAGTAATAGTTCTGTATCTAAAATTAATATTATTTTGGAGAACTATAGACTATATTTAATTTATTTGATCAATCATTAATCATTGGGACCCTTAATCATAAGATAATATTATTGTAGAGAACTTTGAGTTTAGAGTTTTGACTAAATTGATCGGTTTCTTCCTTTAGAGTAAATGGATGTTTGATCAATTTTTCCTGGGAACCTTAGTTATTGTCAACAGGTAGTTATGTCTGAAGGATTTGTGTCGTTTGGAGTTCAGAAGCTTTGGGATCTCCTGAGTCGAGAATCTGAGCGACTGCAGGGAATTGATGAGCAAGTTGATGGTCTAAAGCTGCAGCTGAGAAGGTTACGGTCTTTGTTGAAAGATGCAGATGCCAAGAAACATGGAAGTGAAAGGGTGAGAAGCTTCTTAGAAGATGTCAAAGACATTGTTTATGATGCTGAGGATATCACTGAATCCTTTGTTCTCAAAAAACTTAGAGGAAAGGAAAAAGGGATCAAGAAGCATGTGAGAAGACTTGATTGCTTCTTGATGGAACGTCATAAAGTTGCTTCAGATATCGAAGGTATCACTAAGAGGATCTCTGAAGTGATTGGGGGAATGCAGAGTTTAGGGATTCAACAAATCATTGATCATGGTGGTCGTTCGCTGTCTTTTCAGGACAGACAAAGGGAACAGCGGGAGATCCGGCAAACGTTTCCTAACAGTCCTGAAAGCGATCTTGTCGGGGTGGATCAGAGTGTTGGAGAATTGGTTGGTCATTTGGTGGATAATGATAACGTTCAAGTGGTTTCTATATCTGGGATGGGTGGTATTGGTAAAACCACTCTGGCTAGACAAGTCTTTCATCATGACTTAGTTCGACGTCATTTTGATGGATTCGCATGGGTCTGCGTTTCGCAACAGTTTACACAGAAGCATGTTTGGCAGAAGATATTGCAACAACTTCAGCCACACGATGGTGAGATTTTACAGATGGACGAAAATGCACTCCAGCATAAACTTTACCAACTGTTGGAGACAACTAGATATTTGGTTGTTCTCGATGATGTATGGAAAGAAAAAGATTGGGATCGAATAAAAGAAGTGTTTCCGCGAAAAAGATGTAAGCTCTTATGGTACATACATGAAGCACTTTCTCTATTTAATTCATAAGTGATTGTTAAAAGAAATTTATAGGAAATATGTTATTTATACATGAGAACACAAATGTTTTGCAGGTTGGAAAATGCTACTTACTTCTCGGAATGAAGGTGTTGGCTTCCATGCCGATCCAACATGTTTACCTTTTAGACCAAGAATCCTTAATCCGGAAGAAAGTTGGAATCTCTGTGAGAGGATAGTATTCCTTAGGAGAGATGAAACTGGTACACTTTCATATATAATCTTAAATCAAGAATCGAATAAAACTTATTTTTCAGCTCACACCTTGAAATGTAGTACGTTGTGATATTGTGCAGAATTAAGGCTTAATGAAGAAATGGAAGCCATGGGAAAGGCAATGGTCACATATTGTGGAGGACTACCACTAGCTGTTAAAGTGTTGGGAGGCCTGTTATCTAATAAACATACATATCATGAGTGGAAAAGAGTATATGACAATACTGGAGCTCGAATCGTTGGAAAATCTTGCTTAGATGACAACAATCTCAATTCGGTTTATCGAGTATTGTCTCTCAGCTATGAAGATTTGCCTACGCGTTTAAAGCATTGTTTCCTTTACCTATCCCATTTCCCCGAAGATTACAAGATACATACACGGACATTGTTCCATTACTGGGCTGCAGAAGGAATCTACGATGGATCAGCCATCCGAGATAGTGGAGAAGACTACCTAGAAGAGCTAGTGAGGAGAAATTTGGTTATTCCTGACAAAAACTACTTGAGGTCGAGATATGAATTTTTTCAAATGCATGACATGATGAGAGAAGTATGTTTATCTAAAGCCAAAGAAGAGAACTTCCTACAAATTATCAAAGTCCCTACTTCCACCTCTACCATCAATGCTCAGTCTCCTAGTAGATCTCGCAGACTCACTGTCCATAGTGGTAATGCCCTTCATGTATTGGGACACAAAAACAATAAAAAAATCAGATCTCTTTTACTTGTGGGACTCGAGAAAGATTGGAAACAGTCAGCTCCAGGCTTCCAAAGTTTACCATTGCTTAGAGTTTTGGATCTTTCTTGGGTAAAGTTTGAAGGTGGGAAGTTACCTTCTAGCATTGGAGGGCTCATTCACCTGAGATTTTTGTGTTTATTTGAGGCTGTGGTATCTCATATACCTTCTACGATACGGAATTTAAAGCTTCTACTCTATTTGAACTTAGAGTTTGCTGATGGGGTAACGGTTCGTGTGCCAAATGTTTTGAAAGAGATGATAGAGTTGAGGTACCTTTCCCTACCTTTGTTTATGCATGATAAAACCAAGTTGGAATTGGGTGATCTAGTGAACCTGGAGCACTTGTGGTATTTCTCAACACAACACAGTAGTGTGACAGACCTCCTCCGTATGACTAAGCTTAGGTCTCTCGCTGTATCCTTGAGTGAAAGGTGTACTTTAGAAACTCTATCGACATCTCTCCGTGAATTGCGAAACCTCGAGATGCTTGAGTTCTTTGTTTCGCGTATAACCAATATGGTTGATTATGTGGGACAGTTTGTTCTGGATTTTATTAATCTTAAGGAGTTAGGATTGAGAGTACATATGTCAAAGGTTCCTGATCAACATCGATTCCCTCCCCACCTTGCACACATAAATCTATTTAATTGTCGCATGGAGGAGGATCCAATGCCGATTCTAGAAAAGTTGCTTCATTTGAAGTCGGTTAAGTTAACATATGCGTTTGTTGGAAGGAAAATGGTGTGCTCAAATGGTGGGTTTCCTCAATTATGTGCTCTAGAAATATCCGAAGAATCGGAGTTGGAAGAGTGGATAGTAGAAGAAGGGTCAATGCCATGTCTTCGTACTTTGACTATACATGATTGCAAAAAGTTGCAGGCACTTCCTGATGGACTCAAGTACATAACATCTTTAAAGGAACTGAAGATTGAAGGAATGAAGAGGGAGTGGAAGGAGAAATTGGTTGGAGAAGATTACTACAAAGTCCTACACATTCCTAGTGTTCAATTTATCAACTGTGATGGCGAATAATGAGAATAGCTAGTTGCATATAAACATAAATAGTATAACGTTGTTCATTGATTGGATTATATGTTACCAGTCTTGGATTAGTCTTGGAGCTCTCACTTTCAGTGCATTGTTATGTTCCATTTTTTTTTTTTTGACCCAAAAAAAAGCAGATTTACATTATATGCAGCCTTTAGTTTAACATTTTGACTGTTTGAATGTAAGAAAAAAAATGATATGTTTACATTTTAGGCACTTTTAAGTGAGTTTATCAGTTATCACAGTTAGCTTTCTAAAGCTTTTTAAGATATTCTTAAAGTTATATGTTTACATTTTAGCCACTTTTTTCTACTGTGCATACCGCAAATGCATGCGCATAAGGCGAAACATCAATAACTGCTCAATTACGAAACTACATGACAAAACATCATATCTTCTCATGGTATACAAATACAAAACATCAATAACTAGCAAAAACATCATATAAACAGAGACGGGTATAAAAAGATTCCTTGTTTAAAGCGATATATATATGTCAAAAGAGTAAAAACTTGATACAAAAAACATCTATCCACTTATCTAAAACTTATAAAAAGGGGAAAATTTCCAAAAAAAACGTGACCTATTTAATATTTGCCAGAAAAATACATGAACATTTTTCGTTGCCAGAAAAATACGCAAACTAATTTATAGATGATAAAAAATACGTAAACTATTTCGATTTTCCAGTTTCCTAGATATTATGGTCACGATTTTCAACAAAACTAAGACAACATTAAACATTGTTACTATTACAATCTCGTGAAGAAGTTTCGTTTTTATCGTAGTCATAATCATAACAATATCTTTCTTTCTTTATATTTTAGCTTTATCTTCAATCTTTGTTTTCTTATAGTTAAGTTTTTGTTATGATTAAAAATTTAGGAAAAATGAAAAATAGGCAAACGATGTTTATGATTGTGTTAGTTTCGTTGAAAATCGTGATCATTATATGTGGGAAACTGGAAAATCGAAATAATTCACGTATTTTTTATTATCTCTAAATTAGTTTACGTATTTTTCTGACAATGAAAAAAGTTTATGTATTTTTCTGACAAATATTAAATAATTCATGTTTTTTTTGGGAATTTTCCCTTATAAAAAACATCTATAATTTTGTAATATACTTCAAAAAATCTATCAAAAATTAGTTAAACATGTAAGATTAATACGTTTGGTTGACTAAGCATTATTAGTCGAAGAGTTAGAATATTAATATAAAGCTCAAACTATACCTAATCTTAGTTAATTATCAAATTAATTTTTTTTTCTCATATTCAACACTTCTATATTGATTTATGCTATATTTATCTACTTTAATAGGTGAATTCTCAAAACTCGAAGTTGTCCTATGGGATGATCGGGCTTGTTCGTTTCGTCGCCGCATGTACTTGCGGCTGCTTGCTGCAACAAAAAATTGTTGTCCATTTGGTAATTGCAGCGGCAAACGAAACATTCTGCGATTAAAAAATTTGAACGTCGATTTGATTTAGCAGCCAAAAACGTTGCGTTCGCTGCTACCGCTGCCGCAACCGCCATCGGCAACTAAACGAACATGTCCGATGTCTTTGTTAGGGTTGGTCTATCAAAACATGCAAAATATTATTTATAATATAATGCAAGAAAAAATTGGATGAATTAGTCCATTTTGATACTCATAAATATATCTACTTCTAAGTAATGGATTCGCAAAAACTCCAAGTTATCATATGATCATATATAGATTCATAGGATAGATAATGATTCGTCCAGTCTGATGCAACAATGGCAGCAAACAACGACTCCTTCCCGTCTTGATGCTAAATTCTAGAATAAATCAAGTTACATTAACATTTGCTTATTAACCGATCAATCTGTTGCCGTTTTGCCCGGTTCACTAAAATTAGACAGTTTTCGTGGTTTTGTTATAACCTGGATACTTAGAAGCATTTACTCATGAGTCATGTACTCATGTCTACTCTTGAAAGATAAATATTGTTACAGCGTACAATTCAAGTTACGTGGAATCATGATGAAAAATTGGTTACGTAGAATACAAGTAACATATTTGTAAACACCAGGTTTCAGCTAGGTCTTGATTACACAGTTCAGTAATTTCCAACGTGCAAGGTTTTGTCTGCTTCTCTTAAAATTATAGTCCCTGAATTGTTAACATGTTATGTATCTTATGCAGAGTTCAGGTCTTAATGTGAATGAGCTGGAGAATCCAATAAGTAATGATAAGACTGAGTCAACGCTTTCAAGAACGTGAAACTTAGCATTCGTGACAACCAAGCAACTGCTTCTTCAATTTGGTCCGATAACTACAGATAAGTTGTGATAATAGTCCTTTTCTTTTTATGTGGCTCTTCTAATTTTAATTTTCTGCCATTTGAAATATCTTTTATTTGATCAAATTATATTATTATTATTGTGAAGAACCCTCAGCCAATAGATCGGTAGCTAGATAAGATAAAGTTGACTTGGAGTCAACTTTTAGCTTAGAGTTTTGATAAAACTGATTGCTTTATTCATTATGTAGTAAATGATTTTTCAATCAATTTTTTTCTGAGAATCTGTACCCTTGGCGTTGGCGTTCTTGTACTAGTTATGGCTGAAGTTATAGCTGAAGCTATTGTTGGAGGAGTTGTGTCGTTTGGAGTTGAGAAGCTTTTGGATCTTCTAAGTCAAGAATCTGAGCGATTGCTAGGAATTGATGAGCAAGTTGACGGACTAAAGCGTCAGCTGAGAATGTTACGGTCGCTGTTGAAAGATGCAGATACCAAGAAACATGGAAGTGAAAGGGTGAGAAGCTCCTTGGAAGATGTCCAAGACTTGGTTTATGATGCTGAAGATATGATTGAATCCTTTGTTCTGAAAGAAAATATTAGAGGAAAAGAAAAAGGGATCAAGAAGCATGTGAAAAAACTTGCTTGCTTCTTACCGGATCGCCACAAAGTTGCTTCAGATATCGAAGGCATCACTAAGAAGATCTCTGATGTGATTGGGGATATGAAGAGTTATGGAATTCAACAAATCATTGATCATGGTGGTCGTTCGCTGACTTTTCAGGAAAGACAAAGGGCTCAGAGAGAAATACGACATACCTTCGCTAACAGTCCTGAAAGCGATCTTGTCGGGTTGGAGGAGAGTGTTGAAGAATTGGTTGGTCATTTGGTGGAGAATGATGACATTCATGTGGTTTCTATATCTGGAATGGGCGGTATTGGTAAAACCACTTTGGCTAGACAAGTTTTTCATCATGACTTAGTCCGACGTCATTTTGATGGATTCGCATGGGTCTGTGTTTCACAACAGTTTACACAGAAGCATATTTGGCAGAGGATCTTGCAACAACTTCAGCCACACGATGGTGAGATTTTACAAATGGACGAAAATGTACTCCAAGATAAACTTTATCAATTATTGGAAACCGCTAGATATTTGGTTGTCGTAGATGATGTATGGAAAGAAGAAGATTGGGACCGAATAAAAGAGGTGTTTCCACGGCAAAGAGGTGAACTCCATGAAACACTCTTTCTTTTTAATTCAAAGAGATTCTTGAAAGTAATATATAACATAAATGCGTTTTAATTCCTAACATGAAAATGCAGTTATTTTGCAGGTTGGAAGATGCTACTTACTTCTCGGAATGAAGGTGTTGGGTTACATGTTGATCTAACATGTTTACCGTTTAGAGCAAGAATCCTTAATTCCGTAGAAAGTTGGAAGCTCTTTGAGAGTATAGTCTCTAGGAGAGATGAAACTGGTACAATAGTTTCAAATATAAAATTAAAATTGAGAATCTAGTTAATTTTGTCTTGAAATGTATTTACCTTGTGATGTTTTGCAGCATTACCATTGTTTGATGAGGAAATGAAAGCAATGGGAAAAGAAATGGTCTCATATTGTGGAGGACTACCATTGATTGTTAAAGTGTTGGGAGGCTTGTTAGCTGCCAAACTTACAGGTCGTGAGTGGAAAAGAGTTTCTGACAATATTAGAGTTCAAATCGCAACAACACGGGAATACAAAATATTGTCTTTGAGCTATGAAGATTTGCCAATGCATTTAAAGCATTGCTTCCTTTACCTAGCAACTTATCCTGAAGATGAGGAGATATCTTTGCAACTATTGTTCAGTTATTGGGCTGCAGAAGGAATTTACAACGGATCAACCATCCAAGATAGTGGAGAAGGCTACCTAGAAGAGCTGGTGAGGAGAAATATGATTATTCCTGAAAAACACTATTCGAGTTTGGGATTGGAATATTGTCAAATGCATGACATGATGAGAGAAGTATGTTTATCTAAAGCCAAAGAAGAGAACTTCCTACAAATTATCAAAGTTCCTACTTCCACTCTACCATCAATGCTCAATCTCCTAGTAGATCTCGCAGACTCACTGTCCATAGTGGTAATGCCCTTCATTTACTGGGACACAGAAACAACAAAAAAGTCAGAGTTTTTATATTTGGGGGACTTTGTGGAGATTGGAAACAGTCAGCTTCAAGCTTCCAGAGTTTACCATTGCTCAGGGTGTTAGATCTTTCTAATGTAAAGTTTAAAGGAGGGAAGTTGCCTTCTAGCATTGGAGGGCTCATTCACCTGAGATTCTTGAGCTTATTCCTGGCTAAGGTATCTCATCTACCTTCTACTATGCGGAACTTAAAGCGTCTGCTCTATTTGAACTTATATGTTGATGGAATTGATCCGACTCATGTGCCAAATGTTTTGAAAGAGATGCTAGAGTTGAGGTACCTTACCTTACCTTTGCATATGAATGATAAAACCAAGTTGGAATTGGGTGATCTACTGAACCTGGAGTACTTGATTAATTTCTCAACGCAACACAGTAGTGTGACAAACCTCCATTGTATGACCAAGCTCAGAATTCTCGCTCTATCCTTGGATGAAATGTTTACTTTACAAACAATATCGTCATCTCTCCTTGAAATGCAAAACCTCGAGACGCTTAGGTTCCGTCATCTGGACAATCCGTCAAGGATTGATTATGTGGGAGAGTTCGTTCTGGATTTTATTAATCTAAAAGAGTTAGAATTGGGAGTACGTATGTCAAAGATTCCTGATCCACATCAATTACCTCCCCACCTTGCACACATATCTCTATTATTTTGCTACATGGAGGAGGATCCGATGCCAATTCTAGAAAAATTGATTCATTTGAAGGCAGTTGAATTATTATTTGAAGCTTTCGTTGGGAGGAGAATGGTGTGCTCAAAAGGCGGATTTCCTCAATTACTTGCTCTAGAAATATCTGACCAACTGGAGTTGGAAGAGTGGATAGTAGAAGAAGGGTCGATGCCATGTCTTCGTGATTTAACTATATGTGAATGCAAAAAGTTGCAGGAACTTCCTGACGGAGTCAAGTTTATAACATCGTTAAAGGAACTGAAGATTGAAAGAATGAAGAAGGAGTGGAAGGAGAAATTGGTTTCAGGTGGAGAAGATTACTACAAAGTCCAACACATTCCCGATGTTCAATTTATCAACTGTGACAACGAATAAGCAGTAGCGGGTAAAATATCCGAATATTGTCGGTTTTGTATCCTATTTTTGATTCGTTTGCAGAAACTCTCAACTATCTCCAAAATAAAATGCAGGAAAGAACAACAGGTTCGTGGAGAAAGGTTTTTTACGAAGCATCTCAAATCAAATCAAATTACGTTGCTTGTCTTGATGGAGCTCTCACTTTCTAAGTGCATCGTTATGTTTTGGATCAAGATTTCAAGAACCAGATAATAGTAAATGAATATTCACTTATTGCTTTTGTTTTAGATGTGTATGCGTGGAACTTGCAGTTTGTGGGTTAACACAGTTAAGTTTTTGTGTTTACTATATGCGACAGAGTTTGAAACTAGATTTTAGTTATTACAGTTAAATTGTTATAATTATATAAACAATTTCTTTTTCACTTTCAGTGTATTATAGTTCCTTTAATACCTCTATTATTAAATACATCGCACTTTCACTGTTAAACCTTAAGATATATATGCATACTTCACGAACTATATCTATATGTATGTATATCTTAAAGTTCACAGATTTGGTTTGGCTCAAAAGCCTCAAAGAGATAACCATTCTACATGTTTTTTTTATAGCTTTTATTCAAATCAAATATCAATCTAAGGATGTATATATTGTAACATGAGTTTTTTGGTTGAATAAATTTTACATTTCGTTTTAGAAAAAAAAAACAGTTTTACCACTATCACTACCCTTATTCCAAGTTTTCCACTTTCATTATTAAATTTTAAGATATACACATATAGTTCATTTATATTATTTTAGAATATTATATATGTTTTGTATTTTAGGCATTTGCTGATTGATTGTTATAAATGGTAGGTTTTGTCTCATTTACAATCAAATATACAACTACGTTATTTTCAGATTGATCGTTAAATATATAATAGGCTTTACCTCTATCGTATCCCCCTAAAACCTGGTAAAGTAACTATAAGTGAATTGCAATAAAGATTATAACAAACATAATTTTTTTAATTTAACCAACCTACTATGTAATACTAAGTTTTACTATTTAAATTGATAAAAAAATTAAGATTCACTAAGATACCACCAATAATTAGATAACCTCCACCGAAGAGTTGTTAACATAAGTTTCTTAATTTAAAGAAAAAAAAATATTAATAAAAATTATCTGAGTTACTTAAATAGTAGAAAAGCTATATTCAAAGTTGTTTAAACAAGAGATTTAAGAAACTTTTGAAAGAGTTTTTTCACTAATTAAGCAACCCATCAAATTAAATAATAATATTTGTATAATTTCAATAATAAATTCCTGATGTTAAACAACTATGAATGGAGGTGCTCATAGCTAAAATAGATTATTAGGTTAAATGATATAAAAAATAAATAAAAATTGCTAAATTAGTGTAGAACAGGTTTTTTTAGTTAGGAGCTTTTATAGAACCTATAAAACTTGTCAAAATATGATTGGGTAGCTAGAAAAGATAAAGGTTGATTTGGAGTCAACTTTTAGCTTAGAGTTGACTTGGAGTCGACCTGGAGTCAACTTTTAGCTTAGTATTAAGTTATTAACAAAAAAAGGAAAAAACAGACCAACAAAAAAAAAAGGGAAAAAAAAAACAATTGTCGTCTCTCTCTCTGTTTACTGCAATGGAGGACCGTTTCTCTACTATTGCCAATCTTCATGGAGATCACTAACAGGTACTTTCAAATTTCAAATTCCTTTACCAAATTGGGTTTTTGATTCGAAATTATAGCAATAACACCTTAAATTAGGGTTTCTCCAAGCGAGTTCTACGTTGATTCGATTCAAAAGCAGTAGCATCTATAACTAGGGTTGATTGATGATGTTGTTAGAGTCAATTAGTTTGGAAATTCTGAATCGATTTCCAAGTTTGTATATATGAATCCGATTTTGATGAATAAGTGGTTCATGCCACAGTTTTTCTAATAACCCATTTTCATTGGAAAAATCACTTCACCGTCATCGTTTTTTTCATCTTATGCGTTTCAGAAGTTGAATCATAAGCCCACAGCAGAGTTTGTAAGGGGAACATACAAAGGTTTGATGCAAGAATATTTTGGGTTTCCATCCTTCATTATATCAGTAACACAATTCAACTCTCAATAGCTAACTGGTAAGTGCTCTTTGCTTGGTGTTGATCTGTCACAGGAGGCAAAGATCTATAAGAAAACCATAAATTTTTTAAGGAAGAAGTAGAGAGCTTGTCTTTGAGAGAAGTGAGAAAATATGAATGTGAGATGAAGGATATTCTCTATTGGTGATGAATACTCGAAGAGATAATTCGTCACAAGTTCAAGAGAGAACTATACATGTCTCTACACACTACTCAAGGTGAGTTTTCTAAGGGGTTTTCGTAGTGCGATCTTTGTCTAGTATCTGAGAGTAGTTTGGCTTACTTGGGAACTAGTAAAGGGTCTTCTTAGAGAATCACATGGCAAAGAAGGGAAGATGTGTTGGTTTGACATGGAGTAGAGAATGGCATGTGAGGAGGTTTTTACTTAAAAATAAAAGAATTTTCAGAATAGATATTATTTATTCTAAAGAAAACCTTGATGGGGTTCTAGTTCTACCATTGGAGAATGAAAAAAAATCAAAATCTCTTAATAAGGTTCTTAAGTTAAAATGATGGAAAAATTATAACAAATTATTTAGCTTATTACTACACCTACGATCTTGAATGCTGGGTAAGTAATGATGCAACCAATGGCACCAAATAATAGAAACTACAACGAATCCTTCCCGTCTTGATCATGCGACGTGGTCGTCTTGTCTTAGTCTTGTGATAAGCATGTTGCTCTTTCCTTTGGTTTTTGCATGCGTAATATGTACCATTCAGTAAGTGGTTATGGTGATGATATATATATATTGCTTACTAATGTTTTGATACTTAAAGCATTATTAGTGGACATAGAATTCATAAATTATGTGTGTTTTTGCTCTCCAAGGATAAATTTGTTACTTTGTATATATTATATATATAAGCTCGTGGCGAAAATTTGGTCTTATACTCTTTATGATTAGTTTTCCAACCGTGCAAGGTTTTGTGTGACTCATTGAAATTTTAGTCTCTCAAGTTAACATGCTATTATATGACATATGTTATGCAGAGTTCAGGCATTAATGTGAACTGAGCTGGAGAAATCAACAAGTAATGATACCAACGCTTCAAGAACCAAGCAACTTCTTCTTCGAATAGTTGTGATAATATTCTTTTTTTCTTTATATGTGAAATATTTTGTACAGTACTATTATTGTGGAGAACCCTCATCCAATAGATGGGTAGCTAGATTAGATAAGGTTGATTTGGAATCTACTTTTAGCTTTTAAAGTTTTGATAAAACTGATTGATTTATTCATTTGTAGGAAATAATCAATAATTTTCTGAGAGTTTGTACCCTTGGTGTTCTTGTACTAGTTATGGCTGAAGCTATTGCTGAAGGAGTTGTGTCGTTCGGAGTTCAGAAGCTTTGGGATCTTCTAAGTCAAGAATCTGAGCGATTGCAAGGAATTGATGAGCAAGTTGATGGACTAAAACGTCAGGTGGGAATGTTACAATCGTTGTTGAAAGATGCAGATACCAAGAAACATGGAAGTGAAAGGGTGAGAAGCTCCTTGGAAGATATCCAAGACTTGGTTTATGATGCTGAGGATATCATTGAATCCTTTGTTCTGAAAGAAAATATTAGAGGAAAGGAAAAAGGGATCAAAAAGCATGTGAAAAAACTTGCTTGCTTCTTACCGGATCGCCACAAAGCTGCTTCAGATATCGAAGGCATCACTAAGAGGATCTCTGATGTAATTGGGCATTTGAAGAGTTATGGAATTCTAGAAATCATTAATGGTGGCCCTTCACTGTCTTTTCAAGACAGACAAAGGAAGCAGAGTGAGATCCAGCTGACTTTTCCTAAGAGTTCTGAAAGCGATCTTGTCGGAGTGGAGGAGAGTGTTGAAGAATTGGTTGGTCATTTGGTGGAGAATGATGACATTCATGTGGTTTCTATATCTGGAATGGGCGGTATTGGTAAAACCACTCTGGCGAGACAAGTTTTTCATCATGACTTAGTCCGACGTCATTTTGATGGATTCGCATGGGTCTGTGTTTCACAACAGTTTACACAGAAGCATGTTTGGCAGAAAATCTTGCAACAACTTCAGCCACACGATGGTGAGATTTTACAGATGGACGAAAATGCACTCCAGAGTAAACTCTATCAATTATTGGAAACTGCTAGATATTTGGTTGTCGTAGATGATGTATGGAAAGAAGAAGATTGGGACCGAATAAAAGAGGTGTTTCCACGGAAAAGAGGTAATTCTTAAAACTAATATACATCATAAATGCGTTTTATTTCCTAACATGAAAAATACAATTACTTTGCAGGTTGGAAGATGCTACTTACTTCTCGGAATGATGTAGGGTTACATTTTACGACCAATCGCTAATGATCGCTGTAATTTTCAACGACTGAAAACTGCGGTTGCTGGTCGCTGATCCAGCAACAAGCAAACGAATAACTTTTGGTTGCTTTCGTTGGCTACAGGCAAGCAAACGAACACGGCCTTAACCTCAAGATATACATATATAATTATTATATTTGTTGTCAACAACATACACACATAAAGTTAATTTATCATATTTTAGAATAAATTATTACAGTGCGACGAACGTGGTGGTCTGTCTTGTCTTAAGATAAGTTGACATTTATAAATATAGAATGAGTAAATTGGTGTATTTACTCTCGAATGATAAAACTGTTACAGTGTAAATATTATATATATATATGCTCGTATAATCCTGGTAAAAATTAGTCTTCTTATTAGTTTCCAGCAGTGCAAGGTTTTGTGTGCCTCTAATTGAAATTTTAGTCTCTCAAGTTTTCTAATGCTATATATGACCTATGTTATGCAGAGTTGAGGCATTAATGTGAATGAGCTGGAGAATTCAATAAGTAATGATACGACTGAATCAACGGTTTAATGACCCAAGCAACTTCTTCGAAATGGTCCGATTGTTTTTTTTTTTTATGTTGTCTTTGGAGTCAACTTTTAGCATAGAGTTTTGATAAAACTGATTGCTTTCTTCATCGTTGGTGATTTTCAACGAGCATTTATGGCTGAAGGAGTTGTTTCGTTTGGAGTTGAGAAGCTTTGGGATCTCCTGAATCAAGAATCTGAGCGACTGCAGGGGATTGATGAGCAAGTTGATGGTTTAAAGCTGCAGCTGAGAAGGTTACGGTCGTTGTTGAAAGATGCAGATGCCAAGAAACATGCAAGTGAAAGGGTAAGAAGCTTCTTAGATGATGTCCAAGACTTGGTTTATGATGCTGAGGATATCATTGAATCCTTTGTTCTGAAAGAAAATATTAGAGGAAAAGAAAAAGGGATCAAGAAGCATGTGAAAAAACTTGCTTGCTTCTTACCGGATCGCCACAAAGTTGCTTCAGATATCGAATGCATCATCGAGAGGATCTCTAAGGTGATTGAGGATATGCAGAGTTTTGGGATTCAACAAATCATTGATCATGGTGGTCGTTCGCTGACTTTTCAGGAAAAACAAAGGGCACAGAAAGAGATACGACATACTTTCCCTGACAGTCCTGAAAGCGATCTTATCGGGGTGGAGGAGAGTGTTAAAGAATTGGTTGGTCATTTGGTGGAGGATGATAGATTTCAAGTGGTTTCAATATCTGGAATGGGCGGTATTGGTAAAACCACTTTGGCTAGACAAGTTTTTCATCATGACTTAGTACGACGTCATTTTGATGGATTCGCATGGGTCTGTGTTTCACAACAGTTCACACAAAAGCATGTTTGGCAGATGATCTTGCAACAACTTCAGCCACACGATGGTGAAATTTTACAGATGGACGAAAATGTACTCCAGAGTAAGCTCTATCAATTATTGGAAACTGCTAGATATTTGGTTGTCGTAGATGATGTATGGAAAGAAGAAGATTGGGACCGAATAAAAGAGGTGTTTCCACGGAAAAGAGGTGAACTCCATGAAACACTCTTTCTTTTTAATTAAAGAGATTCTTGAAAGTAATATATAACATAAATGCGTTTTAATTTCTAACATGAAAATACAATTATTTTGCAGGTTGGAAGATGCTACTTACTTCTCGGAATGAAGGTGTTGGGTTACATGTTGATCTAACATGTTTACCTTTTAGAGCAAGAATCCTTAAACCCAAAGAAAGTTGGAAGCTCTTTGAGAGTATCGTCTCTAGGAGAGATGAAACAGGTACACTTTCTAATATAAAATTAAAATTGAGAATATAGTTAGTTTTGTCTTGAAATGTAGTTACCTTGTGATGTTGTGCAGAATTACCATGGTTTGATGAAGAAATGAAAGCCATGGGAAAGGAAATGGTCTCATATTGTGGAGGACTACCATTGATTATTAAAGTGTTGGGAGGCTTGTTAGCTGGCAAACATACAGTTCGTGAATGGAAAAGAGTTTCTGACAATATTGGAGTTCAAATCGCAACAACACGGGAGTACAGAATATTGTCTTTGAGCTATGAAGATTTGCCAATGCATTTAAAGCATTGCTTCCTTTACCTAGCAATTTTTCCAGAAGATGAGAAGATAGATTTGCAGATATTGTTCAATTTATGGGCTGCAGAAGGAATTTACAATGGATCAACCATCCAAGATAGTGGAGAAGGATACCTAGAAGAGCTAGTGAGGAGAAATATGGTTATTCCTGGAAAAAGCTATTCTAGTTATGAATATTGTCAAATGCATGATATGATGAGAGAAGTATGTTTATCTAAAGCCAAAGAAGAGAAATTTCTACAAATTATCAAAGTCTCTCCTTCCGTCTCTACCATCAATGCTCAATCGCCTTGTAGATCTCGCAGACTCGCCTTACATAGTGGTAATTCCCTTCAGTTACTAGGACAGAAAAATAATAAAAAAGTCAGAGTTTTTATATTTGGGGGACTCGGTGAAGATTGGAAACAGTTAGCTTCAGGCTTCCAGAGTTTACCATTGCTCAGGGTGTTAGATCTTTCAGGTGTAACGTTTGAAGGAGGGAAGTTGCCTTCTAGCATTGGAGGGCTCATTCACTTGAGATTCTTGAATTTATGTCAGGCTATAGTATCTCATATACCTTCTACTATGCGGAGTTTAAAGCGTCTGCTCTATTTGGACATAAATGTTGCTCCATTACAACCGGTTCATGTGCCAAATGTTTTAAAAGAGATGCTAGAGTTGAGGTACCTTGCGTTACCTGAGATTATGCATGATAAAACGAAGTTGGATTTGGGTGATCTAGTGAACCTTGAGTACCTGTGGCATTTCTCAACGCAACACAGTAGTGTGACAAACCTTCTCTGTATGACCAAGCTCAGAAGTCTCGCTGTATCCTTGAATGAAAGGTCTACTTTACAAACACTATCGTCATCTCTCCTTGAATTGCAAAACCTCGAGACGCTTAGGTTCCTTCATCTGGACAATCCGCCTGAGGTTGATTATGTGGGAGAGTTCGTTCTAGATTTTATTAATCTAACAGATTTATTATTGTTCTTACGTATATCAAAGATTCCTGATCAACGTCAGTTACCTCCCAACCTTGCACAAATATCTCTATATTTTTGCTACATGGAGGAGGATCCGATGCCAATTCTAGAAAAATTGATTCATTTGAAATCAGTTGAATTAAGATATTGGGCTTTCGTTGGGAGGAGAATGGTGTGCTCAGAAGGCGGATTTCCTCAATTACTTGCTCTAGAAATATCTTATCAACTGGAGTTGGAAGAGTGGATAGTAGAAGAAGGGTCGATGCCATGTCTTCGTGATTTGACTATAGGTGATTGCAAAAAGTTGCAGGAACTTCCTGACGGAGTCAAGTACATAACATCCTTAAAGGAACTGAAGATTAAAGGAATGAAGAGGGAGTGGAAGGAGAAACTGTTTCCAGGTGGAGAAGAATACTACAAAGTCCAACACATTCCCGATGTTCAATTTATCAACTGTGACGTATGATGAGAATAACCAAGTAGCAGGTAACGAGAAATGGTTTGGTGTTCACTTTTTTCGGTTTTGCATTCTAAATGGATTTGTGTGTAAGTCTTGTTGACAGTCTCAACTGTTATTCATTGTTCTAACATGGATCATCTCTAAAATAGATGCAGGAATGAACAAGAAGCTAACCAAATTCTCTTATATGGACTCTCCAGAATCACATGCGAAACATCAAGGGCTCAATAAGAGATAAAGGTTGCTTCATAAGAGTCATCTACTCGTCTGCTGATAAACAGGTTTTCGCGTAGTTACTCTGGAATTGATTATGAAGAATACAAATTCTGAAGTATCAATACGTTGCCAAGTCTTGGATTAATCTCACAGCTCTCGTTAAGTTGTGGCTCAGAATATCAACGACTATTTCATATAAATAATGCTTAAGAACTCTTTCATGGAGATTGCTTTGTTTTATTTGTTTTCTCGTTTGTGGCTTTTGTATGCTTTATTTACATCATTAAGAGAATAACGCTTAATTGTGTTTTGTTTAGTTATGCCACTTTTTTATACTGTGTATAACGCTATAGGCTCTAGACATGGTTGAACTAAAGAAGAGCAAAACTGATGTACAATCAACAGAATAATCTCATTTCCACCTCTGGCAAAACAATATATTTTCTCAGGGCCGGGGAAAGTAAAATACAAAGAAGTCGAGGTAGATTCCTAGTCGAAACTTTACGAGTTTGTAGCGAGTTTGTTGAAGGCGGCATAAACTCTCTCTTCCGTGAACAGTCTGTGTTTTTCATAGAAATCTAATATCTCCATTGCAATATTCTTTACCTGCCAATGTGTTCAGAACATACCTATGAATAGTTAAGACAAGACCAAGCCTTCTTGTAAAAACAGAGTTAATATTTTCTCAGAGAATTAGAAGGATAATAACAATGTTTACGACGGAAAGGGGTGTATATAAGACTTACAATGTTCATGTCGACAGAAAGCTCTTCAAACCATGTCCTTATGTCTTTCTCTCTGTGTACAGAAGCAATGTAAATGCAAGCGAGTGTGATGAGAAAAGGCGGATGTATAAGGATGAGATCCATTCGGTAAGTGTCGTTGACAAGACCCCTATAGTTTCCAAACAAAAATTAAAGAATCAAGAGAGCATTTACTTTTTTGCTTGCAAATCGAAACCTGCTTAGCTCAGTTCCAATTTAAGATTTTTCAAGTGCTGGTTACTGTTATACTATTGACTTCTTGCTTACAACAACACTTCATCCCCAAGCTTAATAAAGCACAAAAGTTAAGGATACTTACCAAGTTAAATGGGTCATACTTGTGTCATTGATTCCAGAATCCTGCAAGAACCTGCAAGTAATGCAAAGAAGGGTAATCGAAATCGCAGAAAGATTCTGATGAGGACACATAAGATCATAAGCAAACAACTTACTCAGGCAGAGACCGGTATGGATGAAACACAACAAGATAGAAGTTCAATGCTTCCAAGATCTTCATCTCCATTTCAAGAATATCTTTGATCTCATACCTAAACTTTTCATCAGCATCTACAGAGAGAGAGAGAGAGTGAAGCATCCAACTTCTAATCAAAAACGCCGCAAATTTTCCAATCAAGAAAGGTTAGAAGCAGAGAAAGAAGCAAAGAATTACACAGTTTTTTCATGTAGAAGACAATAATTTTAGCATGGATCACACTCTCTTCTGCTTTGCAAGCCAAATACAAGCAGGTCGGTGCGACAAGTCGAGGCTCATATTCCGTCAAACTCTTTCTGCCAACAACACAGCAGTACACCATAAAAACCAAACAACCGAGCCTCAGTGCTACATAACTTTACCAAAATCAACAGAAACCATACAAACCTTGTGTAGACACGACGCATATAAGTCACTGCAGTAGCAACAACTCTGTAATCATCATAAAGTGTTAAATCCATCATCATTGTTAAAAGGGTCATTGCACTATTTCAAATCTCTTCAAGACTAAACAACAAAAGACTTCACCTTTGCCTAATCTTAATGTGTTGAGCCAATTTTGATATATCTGAAAACCAAAACAACAAAGAGACCAAGAAATGAAACCCACAAAACAAGAACAAAATTAAAGACATGGAGATGGTTAAATCAAATTCTAAGTATTACAATTAGACATATGAAGCTTGATGAGTCTGAAATCTTCAACAGAGATTCCTCTTTGAGCATCAATGGGATTAACAACATTAATCTCTTCTGGGTCCTTGAGCTCTTTGCTGTACGAATAAAACCCAGAACACGAATCAATCAGGAACACATAGAAACTGAAACAAGACAAGGATCTGTGATGTCAAGATTGGAACTTACTAGTGCGTCGATGTCCAGAAATTGGAAGCCATAGCTTCTTCGATTCTTCAACTTCAAGAAATATAAAGTTTCCTTTTTTATTTTGGTGGATAATGAGAGAAAGCATCAGTATGAGAATCCCTTACGGTAATAGAAATTAAAATAAAAAGTATTATCCCAATTATTCGTAGAAAACAAACAAATAAATTAAACTCATCTTCTAACCAAATTTTTTAGATTTAGAATTTTTGATAAAATATGACGGAATTGTCATTTTTCAGGCTACAAAAATACGATTAAAAATTCGTTTTATTTTATTTTTTTGAGTTTAATCGGTTTTATTTATTCTTAGAGTTTAGCATTTGTTATAAATTATGTATTTTAGCCAGAAAAAATATCATATGTATAGACATTTAAGTGTTTATAAATGACAAATCTGTATATGGTTTTAGAAAATGGTATATTCATAAACTTTGACAAATCAATTTATAAACTCTTTTTTTCTCATCATCATGATTCATCAATATAACCTTTTTCACATTTTAGCTTTCTACTAAGAGAGGTTAAGGTTTAGATTAGAAAACACAAAATGGGGAAACAAATCAATTTTGATGATCAATTAACAATAGTGTTTAATATGTTTGGTAGAGTTAACAACGATGTTACATGTATTGCCACAAAGCTAAGATGGGCAATTGTCAAAGTCTTTAATCTTATTTTTTTCTTTCTGTGAGATAAATGTTGGAAGATGGAGAAGATTTCATCGGTTGCTATGGTTTCAAAGCCAGTTTGCTGAATGCAGAATTCACTTTTTCCTCGGTGATTGTTCTGTAATTCTCATAGAAGTCTAGAATCTCCATGGCAATGTTCTTCACCTGCAACTCAATGCCCCATGTAGAGATCTAAATGTCATAAAAGAATACCGCAAAACAATGCAAAATGTCGATAAGGGTTTTTAGAAGAATGACTGACCAAGTTCATGTCCTCATGAAGATCTTCATACCATGCAGTGATGTCTTTCTCTCTGTGGACACTCGCTATGTATATGCACGCTAACGCTATGCGATAAGGTGGATGTACTAGAATAAGATCCATCTTATAAGTATCGTTAACAATTCCCCTGAAACACGAAAACAAAACTCTCAGACCAGATCAGAGATTTAGGAAATAAGTTTTCTGCAAAAATTCTCATATAGAAGGACTTTACCATGTGATTTGGTTCATATTAACATCGTTTATTGCAGCATCTTGCAGATACCTGAGAAATCAAAAGAATGAATTCTTGAAATGAAATATAGGTTTTCTAACTAAAATGAACTCAGTGCCATAATAGGGAAAAACATATTGGTTGAGATACCATCAAGGCACCAAAACTCTCCTAGTGAATAATAAAGTCGATCCAGAAATTTCACTCGATGAACTCAAAAACATTAAACGGCAAGTTCTTTACATGTATCATCATTTACACTTCTAATCATCTCTTCTCTGTTTGCAACACAGACAATAAGACAAAACAGGTGCAAATTACATTGCCTAATAAAAGCAGATAAGAGAGGTGAGCGTACATACTTAGATAATGACATGTAAGGGTGAAACACAACCAGATAATAGTCGAGTGCTTCCAAGACCTTCATCTCCATTCCTAATATATCCTTTATTTCATATTTATACTCATCAGGATCTGCAACGACATAAGAATCGTTGTCGAAAATGTCAAAAAACACATATCGAAGGAGGCTTCTCATATAATCAAACAGCAGTAAAAGTCAAAAACATCAAAGTCAAAAACACAGTAGAAGAAGATATTACACAATCTTTTGATGTAAAAAACAAGATTCCTGGCTTGGACAATGCTTTCTTCAGCTTTAGATGCCAAGTACAAGCATGTAAGTGCCACAAGACGGGGATCAAACTCTACCATACTCTTTCTGAGACAACATAATATGTCAAAAGAATATATTAGTAGCTAAACATAAAACCTTCACAGTCTATGGTTTTTGATGGTAGAGAGATGCAACATTAGTGTGACTATACTTTCAAGAACTATTGGCAAATACGAACTTAACACATTTCACTACTCACAAACACTATATGAACATTGATGCAACAGATCATACACAAATTACAATATGCATACCTTATATAAACCCGTCTCATATACGTAATTGCAGTAGCCACAACCCTACATAAGTATTAAAACAAAGCGCAAAGAGCCAAAGATTCATATTAAATTCCACAGAACCAAAACAATTTAATGAACCAAAAAATTGGATCCCAAAATTGCAATAATAAAAAACAAACCTTTGCCTTACTTTAATGTGCTGAGCCAATTTCATTATATCTAAGAAACAAACAAGTTAACAAAGAGTCATATATAAAACTCAAACACTCTCTTTGATCAATTTCTAAAAAGGAAGAAGCTTTCGTACGATTAGACATATGGAATTTGATGAGTTTGAAATCATCAATTGAGATTCCACGTTCTTTATCAAGATCGTGAACTACATCTACTTCTTCTTGATCCAAAAGCTGTTTACTGCTTCGTCACACCAAACACAAAAAAAAAACAAAAAGTCGAGAAATTGAAAATTAGAAAAGTTGGATTAGAAGGAGAAGGAAGAAGTGAACTTTTGATGGGTAGAGTTGAATACGGATGACTTACTAGTGAGACGAATTCCAGAAATTGGCAGCCATGTTTTCCGGTACACCGTCGAGATTTTGGTAAGGAGGAGGAGAAGATCTTTTGGTATTATAATAATAATTTCAACATTTTTTCTGTTATCTGTCAAATCTTTTGGCTGGTGGTTTCATGATCTATCAAATCGTTGCTTTTTATTTGAAACCTACATTTTTAAGGTGTTCGGCCCGTTAGCGGCCCAATAGTCATTTTTGTTAGTCAACTCGGCCCAATACGAAGACGTCTTTGAACTTAACTTGAGAAAACTTTAGGTATGAAATGAAAAACCTCAGATATTTCTCTCATGAGTGGTTAATAGTTTGATGGAGATTTCAGATTATGTATAAAATCAAAATAAGTTTGATAATTTCAAAGGTTGCTTACCCAAAAAAGAAAGTTTATATTCTGTATTTGTAGTTTTGTATATGTGAATACAAGTTCAATGGAGTGTGACGCATCATCATAGATATATAGGAAGGATCAATGTTCGTGAATAAATTGAACACAGAATAAAACTTGAAGTTTCAATGTTAAAATTTAAGTAAGAAGATTATCTGGTGCACAAAGAAAAAAGTAAGAAGATTATTAAAACTTTAAAAAGCTCCAAATGTTTAAAAAGAAAATATATTTCCAATAAAATGGAAAAGGCCTTAGAAAATAAAAAGCAAAGTTATAAAAAGAGAAATTGCAAAATAAGTTAACCGCTATCGGATCGGATTTTTCTGATGATCGAAAACGAAACTCGAGTCACTAATATTAGTGGATATAATATTTACGGCTTTGCGGCGAAGACACTAGATCAAAACCATAAGCGTATGGCAACTCGACTCTCTACTTAGATCTCGTGTTTAGAAACCTAATAAATCGTAGATCTAAGGGTATTATTATTGGGAAGCTCTTAACCTCCCAATAATGATGGTCTAATATCCTTCCACCAATACGGATGATCTATGAGATTTATGAACAAGACTCCTTTTAAATTTGGATTGGTGAATGTGGTTACGACGATTTACAAAGAGTAGTGGTTCAATCAAACCTCCATAACCCACAACTCCTATCTAAAATTCTGAAATATCTACTGTTAATTACCTAGGCAAAAAACGTGGTGGCTGAATGGTGGATTCCCCATCCATACATAGATTAGAAATGGTTGAACATGTAATTTCTTCGGACTATAAAAAACTTCAAAATTTAATACTAAATCGAAATGAGCTGACTCAACAAAAATACAACCAACAAATTAACAATAGATCAAAAATACTTAATTTCGCCTAGCCAAAAAAACAAATTGAACTCATCACAAAAAATCTGTATTTTTTTGCTTAAATACAAATTGCTACTAACAATACTGATTCAAGAAATGTATCACCAAAAAAAGAAAAATGTCTAAGAGCTTCAACTAAAATTGTTGTATTTTTCTGAATTTTTTAAAGAACTAAACTATATACTATAAAACAAAACAGAGACCCGCTATAGAAAATGATAGACTCAAAGGACTTTCCTATTCACGTTTCACATGTTGAGTTTAATAAACATTGAGAAACAACACTATATTAATAACACACGTGTGTGACCTCATTTTCTTTTATTTATTTTAACATGAACCAAACTATTCAATGATTGAATCAACATTAAGATATACAAATATTTAATAATCTCTATATACAATCTTCAAACTTTCTAAATTAATCCCCATCTATAATCTTCAACTTTCTAAATTTCGTCATCATTAGTAAATAACCTTAGGATGTGAAGGGTTACAGCGGTCAGAATGATCAAATCAGCGGTTTAATCCACTCTATATTTAAGCGGACAACAAACCAAATCGAACCAACTCTATTTATACATAGAAACAGTCCGCACTTGGTCTATAATGGTTTACTTTTAGTTTTTGAAACAAAACCACTAGAGAAACAATTAGTGAATACAGTAATAAATAAAAAGAGATTCGGTCCATAGATAATATCGTTCACACAAACCGCGGTAACCATCCACACCCTTTACTTAGTCGCGGAGGAAGTGCATGAGACCTTAATTCTGACACGTGTGAGTGTAAACAAAGATTAAAGAAAGATAATCAAAAAGTCCACCACCACCACCACCACAACACACTCTCTTCTCATTTTCCGTTCTCTATATAAAAGGACTCCTCAAGTCCCCACAAAGTCCTCTTCCGTTGCCTTTTTCTTATTCTCGCTTTTTTCCGTACACTTGGCCCTCTCGTCCTTGGCGATCAAAACCCTAGGTCCCGCCATTGCTCCTCCAGGTCTCCCGCACCTCTGACCACTCTAAATCGGAGCTCCGTTTCGCTTCTTTCTCACTCTCTACTCTGATTTCAGGTGAATCGTCTTCTCTCTCAGTTTTCGTTTTTGATGTTGATGTGGATGTGACGATTTCGTTGATCTACAGTAAAATTTCTGAGTGTTGGAACTTAGAAGCGAAATGTGCAGTTGATTTTGTTGTTTTTGTTTCTTTAGCTCGTTTTGGTTTGCTTGTTTGTGTTTGTCGAAGTCTTGAGGTTGGGAATTTTGAGAAATTAGTGTGTGATTTGAAGGAGTTTTGGGTTGTTTCTGTGATAAGTTTGATTCTGATGAAAGTTTTGTTGTTAATGATACAGAGGTGTTGGTTGCTGTTTGTTCTGTGGAGGTTTGGTGATTGAGAGATACTATGGATTCTCCTGTTGCTGCTGCTGCTGCTGCACGTAAACCTGTTGTTGATCCATCTACTGTATGTGTCTCTCAGTTTCTTGGAGTTTTCTTTTTCTCTTATGCACAAGTTTTTTGTAGATATCTGTTTTTGTGTGGTTTAAGTGTGTTTTTGTTGGATTTGGTAAATGTAGGTTGGGAGAGAGTTTGTTAATCAGTACTACTACATTATGTATAACATGCCTGAGCATCTGCACCGGTTCTATCAAGAGATCAGTAAGGTTGGGCGTGTTGGACAGGACGGATTCATGCGCGATTTCTCTACCTTACTAGTAAGTGTTGTAGTTGGGTTTGGTTGAACGAGAGAGACTGTTCCTTATTTGTGATGTTAAGAGATTAGTTCATTTACTTTTGTTGATATCATGGGGATGGGATGGAGTGTCAATTGGTTGGTTGAAATTTGATGTCAGTTTAAGTAACTTTCTTAAAGTTGGTCTCATTGAATGCTTTTTATTTTGAGCAGGGTATAAGTGAGGAGCTTAAGTCACTGACTTGTGGAGATTTCAAATCGGTTGAGATAACCAGTTATGATACCCAAGAGTCTCACAGTGGTGGTTTCCTCCTTGCTGTTACTGGATACTTCTCTCAAAACGAGAGATTGAGGAAGAAATTCAGCCAGACTTTCTTCCTTGCTCCGCAAGAAAATGGGTTCTTTGTTCTTAATGACCTCCTCAGATTTGTCAATGAGGATCCTAAGAATAATGTTCCAGATGCCAAAGATGGTGAAGTTGTTTCTGGGAAAATCTCTACAAGATCCGGTCTTAGTGATGGTAAGTTAATCTTAATACTCATTATCCATCATTTTTGTTTTAACTTCTTCTAACACAGTATGTTTTCAATCCTTTTCTAAAACTTAAGCTCCTACAGGCAATAAGGACTTGGAGCAAGCTGCATGTGTTTCAGCGAATCCTGTTTGTATGGAAGTGTCTAAACCCTTGAATAATGAGAATGGTAAGGATAATGTTCTGGTACCTGAGATTGTCAATGAAGAAGTTCCAGGGATTGAAATTACTTGCAAAGAAGTTGCAGTGGAGTCACTGAAATATTATGACCCAGCTGATGGACTAGAAAATGTTCCAAAGAAATCGTATGCCTCTGTGGTAAGTAGTCAACCATGTTACATCTCATTTTAGGGTTTACTATATCACTACTGGAGTTTTCTATTGATAATCAATGACTTCAATAACAGTTGAAGGTGACGAAGGATAAATCTGGAGTTTCAGCTGCCTCCTCATTGTCGCTGAAGCAGATACCCAAATACCAAGAACCTCAAGCACCTTCAGATCCTCCTCCAGTCCAGATACTTAAAGACCAAGGACCTCAAGCAGGTTCAGATACTTCTCAAGTGGTAGAATCTGAGACAGTTTCTGAGTCTGTTGACAATGGGCACACTCTGGAAGGTAGGAACAGAATAACTGACCCTCAACTTTTCAGTTGCGATATTTACTGGTCTATTTCTCTTATCTACTCATGACCTGGTTTCCTCCTTCTTTTGCCTTTTTCTTAACAGTGGCTGAGGGTACATCTGTTTATGTGAAACATCTTCCTCCAAATGCCAACATTGCGATGCTTGAGACTGAGTTTAAGCAATTCGGGGTTATTACCAATGGTGGGATTCAAGTTATAAGCCAAAGGGTAAGATTGACCAATCAATTAACACATAGTATATTGGAAGCTTGAATCCTTTTATCGGGAACTAAAGAAAGACTGATCTTACATAACAGCAAACAATGATAGTTTACTGAATGACTTGCAGGGAGGTGGTTATCCTTATGGTTTTGTTGAGTTTAAGGAGGCAGATGCTGCCCAGAGAGCAATAGAGGTACATATTCTAACCTGGAATATGATCTTTACATATATCAGCTGTAGGTGTCTTCATAGGAGTGTTAACTTTTAAATCGGGTGTAAATATGAAATCATCTTAACGATGCAGGCTTCTCCTGTAACGATTGGTGGGCAGAGAGCTTTTGTGGAGGAGAAGCTATCGACATCAAGAGGTGAGTGGGTGTCGTAAGTAGAACAACTTTGATATGGTAAATGTGAAGAAGAGGATGATGATGATTGTTTGTTTGTTTGATTAACACAGGTCACAGAGGAAATGGATACGGAAACAGAAACGTGGGAGGAGTGAGAGGAAGAGGAAGTTATGGATATGGCCATGATTACAGGAGGGGAGGTGGTGGAGGAGGAGGAGGAAGGTCTTTTAATCGTAAAGGCAATGAATATGTCGCCAGCATCAACTCATACTAAACCGGATTGGGTTCTTTTGTGGTAAACCGGATTATTGATTTTTGCAACAGGTAAAAAAGAAGACAGATTTGGTAGATATAATATATCTCGGGTATTATAATTTTACTGCTAAAAAAAAAAGAAACTTGTATTTGTCGGGATATGAAGGATTGTTTGGTAAGACGTTTCTGATTCGACGATCTGGTAAAATATTATGTGAAGGTTCTATATTTTAAACTTTAAAGAATGTGTTCGAAAGCTTTTTGTTCTCCTTCGATTCTGAACGTGTGCCAGTGGTCCTAACGCGTTGTTGGTACATGTAATATTTTATACGGACTGGTCCTTCTTTGACCGGACTAAAACACTGTCGTTTACGTCCCGGACAAAAAAAACTTTCTTTTGAGGACTTCTCGGTTGACCAACTTATTTGAGCACTGGTGCAAAAAGTTAGGTAAGGACAGACACAACTTGGCTCTGTAATTTTAAGGCCAACCATCTCTCATAGGCTACATAGGCTACATAGGAACAGTCTCTAGTGGTAGGCTACATAGGAACAGTCTCTAGTGGTATTAACCATGTAGTCCGTGCAATATCCTTCTTCATAATATTTGACATGTCACCAGAATCAGTAGATAAAAGATGAGTTAACCTTAATGGTCGGCACTACAGTTACAACACTCATAACACCTCATGACTAGAAGATTCAAGACTCAAGAGGTTGGTGTTCTTGGCAGTTAGAACTTAGAAGGAGAGCTAAACAATCACCAATAGCTTGGCCTATAAATCAAGCTACCAGTTCTCAGAATCATAACCAAAGCAAAAGGAGAAACCAAATTAAACAAGTACATACAAACTACAATGGAGAAGAATAACACCAAAGCTAAGCTCCTTCTGGCAGGTATTTCTGATGGCACTTCTACTATCATGTGCTGCAAGAGGGAGGTATATACCTGAGAAGTGAGGTCATCGTTAATAACCAGCAACTCTCGACTTGGTTTGGTTTACAACATTATGGCTGGCCCTTTCATAAAGGATGGTTTTGGTCACTACCCTCTCAAAGCTGGCTTCAACCACGAGAACCTTGTGCCCACATCTCAGACTAGAGGTGATCCCAGTTTTGCTTCATCTACCGTGTTTCCATGACAAGGCGATGTTGCATACTACTACAAGGTGACTTTCAGGTGTGATTAAATAAGGCAGAGCAATAGAGCATCGATTGAAACTCATGTCTATTAGCTTCTGTAATCTATCTTTTGCGACCATTGCTTATTATGGTCCCAATGCATGGAATTCTAATAAATCTCACTTCTAATTCCTACTATCTGCTCATACAGACATACACAAATTCTTAAATGTATTTATCAGCAATGTGAACTGGCATACACGGCATGAGCAAGAATGCATGTAGAGTTTTAGTTAAGATTCAATATTTGTTTCTTCCATATATCTTTTTCATCTATTAAGAGAAAAATAGTATCGACTGAGAGGTTTGGAGAGACCTAAATTACATAGAACAGCGACTAACAAACAAAGAGTTGTTACCAATGATATCCATCAAATGATAGGGCCTTCTTGATATTCAAACTAAAATAACAAGTTACTGAAGTCCCTTCAATGTTCCAAAGTGAGTACGAGGATAGTCTGACAAACCATTAAACCTGTGAGAGTGCAAACCAAATTGCCGTTTACTTAATAAGATCTAGTAATTGCTACAATCATAGATGAAACACCATCTTAGTTAAGACTTACAAGGTGGTGGCAGGTTACATAGCCATATCACTCATCTAGTGGCTGGAAGGAAAACTCGAATGAGTTCTTTTGCAGTAACCTTTTTCCGGCAAGTAGGGCATTTGCCCTGGCGAGATATTGCCATCTTTATACATCCCTTGCAGAAGATGTGACCGCACTTGGTTGACATCTCCTCTGTGAAGGGACACATGCAGATTGGACATGTGAATTTCGGCTCTTCTGGCGGGGGAGCTGGAGCCTTCGATCTAGTCAGTCTCTGCACAATAAAAACGGAAGTGGTGAGCTATAACTAAATAGCATAACTGCACAGTAAATGCTTTCAGAAGTTCACATCTCTCTTACCGACAACATGTCGACTTCAACGACAGAGCCATGCTCACAGTCGATGACAGGTTCGTTAGAAGGAATCCTTCTGCGTTTGTTGCTCGTGTTGGCAGGCAATCTTGTTGTACCTCCTACAATTACCGGTTCAAGTAAGAGAAAACTGGTAAGCGATGAAACTCTCTCTACTACTCAAGTCATAATATTTCACAGATGACTGATAAAATACTGACCTGACTCTACATCAACCATCAAGGATCTCCTACGTGCATTTCTTGATTTGCTTTTAGCCTGGAATCAAAACAAAACCAAATCAGTGAACCTTATGCACAAACAAATCCCATCCATCACTATAAAAAACAAGAAAACAAAATATAACAGGGACCAAACATACTTCAGCAAAAGCACTTGCAGATGATTCAATAACATCATCTTCAATAGCATCAACATCAATCGGAGTAGGAACAGGCTGTGAAGCTACAGCAGGCACAGAATGAGAAGCTACAGCAGGCACAGAATGAGTCGCTACCGCAGGCACAGTAAGAGCTCTAACAGAGGAAGCAGATGTCCCTTCTTGATCTCCAGGTACAGCATTCAAATCAATCACAGATTTTCTCCGTCGATATCCTCGAGGTACCCTCACCTCTTCAGTATTCATCTTTCAGCTCAGAGTAACACAACCTTTATACCTATAAGATTCACGCAATAGAATTACATTAAAAAAATTCAAATTCTTGCAAGCAAAAGAACAAAATTTTCATCAATAATCTAAAAGATACAAACTTTTGACAGATTTATAGAAGAAAAATTCAAACTTTTAACAGATTCTCATGTAATTGTCCCAAAAACCTATCGATTTAATCAAACTGAATTCCAAAAATAAAAATTCAATTTTTAACATTCAAAAGCGAAACGAATCAATCTCTCAATCAACTAATCAAGGCTAAGAACGAGGAGAACACAGTTGAAAAGCAAAGACGATAAACAAATGACTAATTCGATCCCAAAATCGATGGTGATCGTTTCGTAATCAAAACAAAAAAGACAAGGTTTTGAAAGTGAAGAACCTCTTCGATCAATTCAATTCGACGTTTGGGAGACTCACCGTGAGCCGAATTTAAAATCGGAGGAAATCGCCGGAGAGAATATTGTAACCTAATCAGTTTTGTGAAATCTAGGGTTTTTGAAATTGGTTTGTAAGAGAGAGAGAAAAAGAGAGACACGAATGTGAATGTTGAGAGTTGAGACGATGAAACGGTGAGATTTTTTTGAGTTTAATAAAAAAAGCCACGAGTCAGTACGATTTTGACACGTGTCGCATATGCAATGAAGTTCTTTGAAACGCAGGGTTTTGTGTAATTTCGTCGTGTTTACAGTCTTTGTTTCCTGGAAAGTACCATATTGAGATAAATGGCCCATTGGGTTAAGTAGCCCATTGGTTTATTTTACGTTATCAATGACGATAACAATTTTCTAAAGTTAGCCCATTGATTTAATTATTGTATTAGAGTATTTCATTTGGTAAGGTATTCTACTAATTTAATAGTAAATTTTTAATATTGTTTTATTTTAATATAAGTGTTTATTAATTATTTGAAAATATCAAAGTACAAGTAAAAAAATCTAAGTTTAATATTTTGTATTTAATTACCTTAGTTTAAATTCAATTCAAATAATATTAATATATAATTTATACTTATGCATAATGCATCTTAATATATAGATCATTTTCTTATATGATTTATATACAAAAATAAAAATAAACAACTTTTGGTATATACTATATAGAATTATATATAGTTTAAGCTTATGATTTGTAAAAATTACATTAAAACCAATTGGAAATGACATGTGTCCAAGTTTGAGAAGATGATGGGTTTCTCATGGATATCTCAAATGAGAAACTCTTTGAGATTTTCACAATTTTTGAATAAAATATTACTTTTTAATTTATTTTCTATATTTTTACGGGAATCTTTACTTGATAGACTCCCAATGAAAATGGTTTTAGGACACTTCCAAAAATACAAACAAAAAACGAGTTTATGATGTCTCAGACTCATATAGAGTCGTTCCGGAGCTAAAACTGCTGAAACATATGCTTCATGCATCAAATGATTATTAATAATTTTTAAGGCATCATATGTATATAATTGCGGTGGTATAGTGGGTAAAAACCATTTTGTTGAGCTACAAACTCAGAGTTCTACTCTAGAGTGTTGAGAATTTTGTGGATTTTGTTTCATACAATTTTTACTGATGTGCCTAAATAATTTTTCCTGGATGTTAAAAATGGCTTAAAAACCATGTACAAAGTCAGCACTTTAAACTCCTGAGTATGAAAAGTCGTATAAAATTAATATTAATGAGATAAACTCTTCATAGCCTTGGTCTTTTAACTTTTGTTTATTTTTTTCCTAACACTATTTTCTCTTCTTAATAAAAAGTAAGAAGTACCATAATTAATTTGTAATATTATTAACTTTTAAAAAAGCTTTGGTCCTTGAAAAAGCCACCACACACAAGTTCTCGTATTTGGTACCAAAACTGCGCCCCTCAATTTTAAGAGAATTAAAATAAATTTAAACTGCAGAAAATAGATAATTTTTGTTTTTGTTTTCATTTGTCGACGTATTTAATTTCCCAAAAATTACGAAGAAATTCATTGTTAAGTCAAGCTACATTGTGCATCAATGTCTTTTTACACCAATTTACTTTTCTTCAAATAATGAATCTGAGACAATTCAAACTAATATTTGATAATTTAGTCGCATATAACATTATTTATCCCGCACAATATTTTATTACAAGTAACTTATAAAACGCGAGGAAATATGTAATAGTAAATAACATTATTTGAAGAAAAGCCAAAATATATGTTCCTTACTTACTTAGCCACTCAAACCATTAGGCAACTCGTACAACCAAAAGTTTCAATTCACACATTTACAGTTTTCTTAACTAAAGAGACACTATTGTTATGTTATATACTTAATTGTTATGTTTTCAATTCACTTAATATTTTTTTGTGTTGTTTATATATGATCAATAATATGCTCTCACAAACAAATTAAGAACAAAACAAAAAACACAAATAACTAGAGAGTAACAGAAGTTGTAGATACATTTTAGCAAAAACCAATTCCTATGTCTCCACAAGAATAACTGAAAAACAAAAAATCAAAATAAATCATGCATATGACGATTAACGAAAGAGAAGCAAAAGGGTCACATCTTCGGTAACTTCACTTTCTACTCCATGGAGGAAAGCAACAACCCTGCACATATGATGTATAACCAAAACTTAAATGGTCATTTTGGTATAAATCTTATATATACTGTATATATGTAAGTTTTAAACCAAATAAAATATGAAAAATATAACATTACAAGCCTTTCCCAACCACATTACTCTTATATGGAACCAATATATAAGAATATTCTTACCATTCGATTTTTTTTTTTTCCGTTTACAAGCTAATTATATAATTCTACAGCAATTTTAGTCGTGGGACTCTTGTCACTTAGGTCTTTGTAATAGAACGAATAACACATTAATTAGTTTGTCAGTACTGAATTTGTCAAATTAATTTCATAACCAAGTCTTTGATGAAAATATAATAAATGCGAATAAGTAATTTCGATGTATTCTTTGATGTATGGCTATGAAATTTCTTGTTAATTTGTTTCATAATTTTTATGGAAATAAATTAAAGAATGAATACGTACCTTAGGACTAGAAGAAGGTAATGGTTGATGATGTTGGTCGTTGATGGGTCGAGTCGGGGTGCTATGATCGGTTCCATTATAAGATCTCGCATTGTTCCTATCTTCTTTAACTTTGTCAAAGATGAGTGTGTAACTTTGATTCTCCATGTTCGAACCAGACGATCCAGGAAATGGTGGAATAGTCGCCACCTAATTGAGGAAAAATACACTTATTGTATTTTATGAATTGTGTAACACATTTTTGTAATAGAGAATGGTGAAAACATTCATACCCTTTCACTACTTTGACCTCTAAGATTGCGTATAGGCCGCACTGGGACATGATCGCGCGATTGCCGCCTATTGGTTTCCGATGGATGTCCGAGTGATCTGCCTCCTCCACCATATGATTGATAGTTATGTGTTTCTTGCGTGGTCGGAGCTCTAACCCTGTTGTTTCTTTCATTGTGTGCAGGAGAAGGTCTGAACTCGGTGTCTTCTCTGCTACTAAACCTTTCATGTCTTGATCTTACATTGTTGTTTTGTGGTTGCTCGTGCCTAGAGTTTCGATTCTGTGAAACGTTTGGATTCATTTCTGGATATTCATTCGGGTTAGATGACACGTTCATACTCTTCTTGCTCTTGCTCGCTTTTTCGAACACGACCGTGAATGGTGCATCTTCTGTCCAGTCTCCGAACTTGGGCACATGTGGACGATTCTATAGAACCACAAGAAAACATTTGCAAGTAGTAAGAGATCGACAATTCGAAAAGCTCAGATTAAAGAACACATTAATATTGTATGTTTTGAGAGTTATGGTCCATATAATATATGGTATCAAGAGTTGGTTCAACTTAAACTCTATAGATCGAAGCTAATCATAATTTCATAACATACCAAAACCATATATTGATGTTAAGAAGAAGACCAATAAGAATGTGAAATATGTCAATAGCTAAGTCTAAACATGTCAAAGGATCCATTTGTAGAACGAAAAGCTTTAAAACATAAAGAGAAAAAAGAAGACTTACTGCCATATATTTCTGAATCTTCCAAGAGCCAGAAATGAAGAGTTTGGTTCAATGGTGGCTCTCTAAAACAAAGAGAGATTATTAAGAAAGAGAGAGGTAAGGTAAGAGACGTGTAAACATGAAAGGCGTTGACAATTCATATGTCGTTGACTTGTCATTCTTGTGATTACGTAGAACGACGACTCCTTCTACGGTTTTGGTTGGTCTATATTTGCATCCTTAATGATTTAAACGAATACTTCCAACGAATAACACGGTTCATGCTTGTTTTTATTTATAAAATAATTGCATACTAGGTATTATCTGATCACATAAAAAATTATAGTTGATTGGTCAATAACATAATTAGACTCTTGAGTCTTGACCACCAAAAAAAATATATATATTTGAGCTAATGAAATTTTAGCAGATTGATGAGTACATGATCAAGAATAGGATGAAGAGAATGTTCGAATGTAACGTTGCAATTTTGTTTTTTGTTTTATTTTATCTATTTTTTTAATGGATGAGGTGATATATATTCCCTAGATATGAAGGATGAATATAGATGTTCATCTCTCTTCTTTATGCACTTCTTATCATTTATTATTGTATAGTTACTAATTAACCCACAGTAAAACGTGGGTTAAGTTGAACTCTTTTTTTTGTTTGATTTTTTTCAACCACACTCTATTTTAGAGTAACATTTGCTCTAATCCTACTCTATATTTTACTCTAAAATAGAGTAAATTATAGAGTTCCTTTAAATATAGAGCAAATCTATTTTTTACTCTATTTTTTATACTACTAGGTAATGTCCCGCGCATATGCGCGGGTTGTTGTATATTTATTTAATTATTTTAATTTATTTATTATTTATAAAAAATAGATTAAATAAATTTTAATGCTTATGACATTTTTACATGTTATTTATTTAAGTCATACAATATAAGCATACATCCATATCTTTTGAATTTATTCGTTAATTAATTGTTCAATTAATCAATTTTCATAATAATTTTCTTTAGTACTTTTAAGTATTTTTTGATAAAACAATAATATTGTTAATGATAAAAATAGGAATGATATTGGGAGAATTTAAAAAATACCCTTTAAAAATACCACTTTTTAAATTTACCCCCTTTTCAAACTTTATCAAAACAACAACTAAAAATGTTGAAATTTATCCAAATATGTGTGTAAACTTATAAATATACACAAAAATTACCTTTATTTGTGTATAAAATTTTATTTATTTCAGTGTCTTACAAATTGGTTTGAATATAACAAAAAAATATTTTGTTAAAATAATTACATACTTTGAAAATAAAATAAATATACATGAATATGTGAGAAAGAAAAAAACATATAAAGTAAAACAATGAAAATGGTTTATTTAGCTTGATTTTCTTATGGTGCGATGGTCAGAAATCAATATTTTTGAAACCCATCGATAAAATAATTTTCTTATAGCCATAGAATATTATTATACATATGTATTATACATTTAAAAGTATAAAAACAATAAAAAATGAAGAAGTACATAAAATAAAGAAGAAATATAATTGAAAACAAAAGTTTTAACCAAATATATAATCAAGCTCTTACAATGATATCTTAATTGAGCTTTCAACCCATGCAAGAACATTAAAAATTAAACAAAGAAAATATTGAGAATATCAGATATGGTGGAGGAGGATGTAAAAATAAGTATTTATAGGATAAAATATGATGTAAGTTACAATTCTAAAATAATTAAATCAGAAGAGTTATAATTATATTTTATAGTGTGTTAATTGAAGTTAAATGGAGGAAACAAATAGTCAATTGAAAGGTTATATAATTTAAGTTACAATTTAATAGTAAAGTGTGGATTTCAAGTATGAATTAAAGTATATGACTAAATGTGTTAGATATTTGGTTTAATTAAAAATAAATATGATAATTAGAAAATAAATGCTAAATGGACAAATAAGGAGAGAGTGAAACCTTAAAAATTCCCAAGAAATAATTTTATTTTTAATCTATTTTTATATTCCTCTTAATTTAAGTTATATTTCTAGGTTTAATTATATTTTCATCCTTGTAGTATATATAATAGATAGAAAATGGAATATCAAATTGTTTTTTAGATAGGAAATCAAGTATAAAATTCAAAGTTAAAACAAATTATAATGTTCTTTGTATTATTACATGTTGAATCACAAACTAAATATAAGGATCATTATTCTTAAAAGAATGTCTTACAAATTGGTTTGATAATTATATAACAAAAATTTTATTTTGTTAAAAAATTACATACTTTGAAAACAAATTAAATATACATGAATATGTGAGAAAGAAACAAACATCCAAAGTAAAAGAATGAAG